TTAGGCATGCCATATGGTGGGATTCATTTATTTTTTAATCCGATGTCAACTTCCTGTTATGCGTCTGTCCGTACCAAATTTCCATCACAGTTTTCTCAACAACTGGTCAGTGCAGATGCTTGAAATTTTAGCACAATCTTTGTTTAGGCATACCAAATGGTGGGATTCATTTTTGTATGAATTCGATGTCAATATGAGAGTGTGTATTCGCATCAGAGCGGGGGTATTACTACTGAGCATTCGCTCACAGACTTCTTGTTCACATATGCATTCCTTGCGACAAGACCTTTCCGTGGGTAACAAGAATTTTGACCTTGACCTTGGAGTTTGACCTACTTTAGGAAAACTTTAACCTTTGACTTAACTTGAAAGGTTGGTGACAGATCTTTGATTTTTAACATGTGTATTTCTTGTGACAAGACCTTCCATTGGGTACCAAACAAACACATTTGACCTTTTGTCCTCTATCTTGGAGTTTGACCTACTTTTGAAAAACTTTAACCTTGGCAATAACTTTTGAATGGTTGATACTGGGGCTTTCATATTTTACAGGTGTATTTCTTGTGACAAGACCTTTATTTTGGTACTAACATTTTTGATCTTTTGGCCTTAGGGTTTCGCTTGTACTTCGGAAACCTTCGCAATAAGCTGCCATACGGAGGTTAGAAGTGTTTCACAAACACATCCTAGATTTTTTTTATATACAAAAGTCTTCTTCAAAAATTCTCTTTTAAACAGAATTTACGACACAATGAATATTCGGGAAACAAGCAAAAGCGTAATTGTTGAAGAATTAAACAAATATAAAATAAATTATACTAAACTGTTCAAAGTTGGTTTTAAAGATTTGATAAAATGTTCTTCTTTTCTTTTCACCGTGCTGTCAGTAAACAGTTTGTAAAAGGGAACAACGGTGAAATGTCCATTACCGCAAAGGTCCAGATGTTCACTAACTTTGACCTGTCTATATTCCGAATGTTGAATATGCTGTCTGTGGATTCGAATACGGGTACGGAGAGTAGTTCCAGTCTCGCCGATGTAAAATTGCCCACATCCTCCACACGTTATACAATATATGACGTTTTTTAGAACTACAAGACATATTTGCATTAACTTTAAAATTTTTGGTCCCAATTTTAAAGGTGTTCCCTTCTTTTATGTATGGACATGTTCCACAGCGACGGTCAGGGCATTTGCTGACTGAATGCGCGTTATATTGTTGAAAATGCGACTTGCCTAATAAGCGGCGGAGGTTCTTTGGTTGCCTCTTACTGCTGATAAATAGGAAATTTTGAAGAACTTTTGACATTCTCTCGTCGGTTTTAAGAACTCCATTGAGATGTTGAACAATTGGAGTCATGTTTCTATTTTTTGGATTGTGGGTCGTAACGAAAGGAAGTATTTTCACCTCTGTAAAGTCCGTAGAGGCTGGATTAAAATGGTTACGGTCTAGTTGTTCTGCTTTTTTAATTCCATCTTCTATAATTTTTAAAGGATATTGCTGATCCAGAAGATATTCCTTCAATTCTCTTAGGCATTTATTTCTTCGTGACTCATCACTTACTGTGGTACAAATTCTTGATTAATTGTATGGTATTGAATGTTTAGTGTGTTCTGGGGTGGCAGGACCCGAAATGAAGGTATTGATGGGTGTCCGTCGTTTTGTAGTACCGGTATATATATCAGTTGACAGTTTCTCTCCATCTCGAGTTATGAGGACGTCCAAAAATGGTATACTCTCCAGATTCTCCTCCACAGTAAAATTAATGTCAGGCTCAAGCTCATTTAGAATGTTGTAGAAGATGTCTTTATTCATGTTGCTTTCATTCCAAATGATGAAACACTCATCAAGATATCTTTTCCATTACTGTTCAATGTTATCAGCGGTAGCTGAATCAAACCGATCACTGATTTTCTAATACAGTATTTCTTCTAAATATCCTAATGTAAGAGTAGCGTAAGTTGCTGTTTAATTTGCTCGTAGTGTTTGAAAATGTGTTGTTTTTTAATACTATTTCTGTGGCTTCCAATCTTTTGTGAATCAGTTATTTATTTTTTCCGGATGTTTGAGAATCCAATATTCCAAAGCCTTGAGACCTAGTGTACTAGTTATGTTGGTATATAGGTTAGTTTTTGATTATTGGATACTGTGGTGATTTTTAGGTCACCTGAGTCACTCAGGTGACCTATTGCTATCCGTTTTTGTCCGTCGTCCGTCGTGCGTCGTGCGTTAACATTTAAACATTTTCAGCTTCTTCTCTGAAACCGCTCAACCAATTTCAACCAATTTTGGCATATAGCATCTGTGGGTGAAGGGGGACAAAAATTGTGAATTTCATGGTCCCTGCCCCCCCTGGGGCCTGAGGGGTGGGGCTAAAACCACCAAAATTAATGCAATCTTTAAAAATCTTCTTCTTTACTCCTGGACATCAAGCAGTCAAGCAGTCAAACTGCTGGCATGATTGTAATAAGCATTGGGCCCTCTACCAAAATTGTGAAATTCATGGCCCCAGGGTCAGGGGTTCTGGTGCATTATATAGTGAAAATGCATTAATTCTTTGAAAATCTTCTTCTCTGCTCCTGAGTATTAAATAAACTAACTAAGTACATAGTTATGATAAGCAAGAGTGCCTCTTCCAAAATTGTGAATTTCATGGCCCCTGGGTCAGGGGTTCTAGTATAAGGGTGGGGCTCTATTGATTATATAGTGAAAATGCATTAATTCTTTGAATATCTTCTTCTCTGCTTCTGGGTATGAAATAAAGTAACTAAGTACATATTTATGATAAGCAAGAGTGCTTCTTCCAAAATTGTGAATTTCATGGCCCCTGGGTCAGGGGTTCTGGTGTTAGGGTGGGGCTCTATTGATTATATAGTGAAAATGCATTATATATTTGAAAATCTTCTTCTCTACTCCTGGGTATGAAATAAAGTAACTAAGTACATAGTTATGATAAGCAAGAGTGCCTCTTCCAAAATTGTGAATTTCATGGCCCCTGGGTCAGGGGTTCTAGTGTTAAGGCGGGGCTCTATTGATTATATAGTGAAAATGCATTATATCTTTGAAAATCTTCTTCTCTGCTCATGAGTATTAAATAAATTAACTAAGTACATTGTTATGATGAACATAACTGCTTCTTCCAAAATTGTGAATTTCATGGCCCCTGGGTCAAGAGTTCTGGTGAAGGGGGGGGGGGGGACTCTATTGATTATATAGTGAAAATTCATAATTTCTTTCAAAATATTTTTTTCTACTCCTGGTTATAAAACAAAGAAACAAGTGTATAGTTATGATGACCAAGGATGCTTTTACAACATTTTTAAAACTTGTGGTCCCAGGGGTTCTGTTGTTTCTCTGAGGGGGGGGGGGGGCTCTATTTGATAATATAGTGAAAATGTGTGAATTCTTCAACTAATTGCATAGTTATGATGATGAGGGTACCTCTTCCAAATTTGTAAATTTTCAACATCTTGACCATTTAGTCAAGTGTTCTGGTCCTGGCCAGGGCTCTATTAATTTGTATTCTATTGAGTGAAGTTATTCCCCTTTGCCATTCACTTTTGATAATTAATCACTGTAGATAATGTATTTGAAAGGTTAATAGAAGAAGAGAATTATGCAAGAACATTTATTGTATAACATAAAAAGTACTTTTATAGTTTTTAATAATCAGGTAGACTTGGAAATAATAGATAAATAAAAATGAAACAAAAATAACTTATCTTCTTAAGTGTTCTTCAAAGGCCAAGTGAGGCCAATGTGAGAGGTAATAATATAGACATTTTGTTAAAAGTTTGCATGGTAATAGTGATAAATGGGGGACAGATAGAAAGATACTAGACCAATTATTTTGTTGATCTGAATCATACTAATTTTCTTGCTATTGGGCAACAATTAAAGCTTCATTTATCAGTTTATGGATCCTCTAAATTGTTGTACTCAGGTGACCGTTAAGGCCCTTGGGCCTCTTTTTTTTTTTTAAGTGTCGCTTAGGAAGTGGAAGAAAGCTTTTCTCTCTTCATTATATAAAGAGCAATTTGTAAGGAAGTGAATTTCATCTTCAATACAATTTAAATTACAAAGGGTGCATATTAACTGACTTCTTTCTAAAGGAATATTTTTTCCATTAATATATTTTGTATATTTGTATCTACCACGTTCAATTCTCAGTTCATGTTTACTTATTCTACATTTACACAACAATTTCCTCTAGCTGATCAAAAGATTTTAGAGACAAGTATTTCTCGGTGGCAAAGGTATTCTTCAATAAAAAAAAATATGTATCAAGTTCTCCTTATGTTTGACCCGGCCTCGTCATGTATTTTAAGCCAGTATTGGTAAAAATGCTTTTTGATAAGTTTTCTGAATCTCAATCCTTTAAAAGTGGTCATATTTTTAAATATTAAAACAATTAAAATTGTTTACAGATAAGTAAATTAAGGTCTAATTTGTTGCATAAAAATTTAGCAGTGTTATAGCAGTTATTGTTCTCAGATTGACTAAGAGTTTTACATTCATCATATGCACAATGTAATAAAGATGATTCTGACATATTTTCTAATTTATGCCAATAGGATATAGTAAACTAAGGATGATTGAACAATACATGGGTAATCTACCAAGTTCAGACAGAATAGCAATATGTGTACTCCTTTTACCAGCACCAAGAATAAATTTACAAAATTTGATATTCAATTTCTCTACATTCCAACCTTTATATACATCATAAATGTCTTTAATAATCAGTGAAATAATAATAATAATAATAGAATTAAGATTAAAATTATCCCGTAGAAAGCTCATCCGAATATTCAAATTAAAATATTTTTTCAAAGGAAAATAACAAAAAAAAAAAAAAAAAAAAAAAAAAAAAAAAAACACCTTAAAAAAGCTGCTCTAATGTAATGTAGCCTAACATAAATATTATGATCCACCCAAGCAATGCCAGGGAGACGCACTTGCTTCAACTCGAAGGATTATGGGATAGGATGACATCACTAACTTATTTGCATATTCATAATTATTGCACCGCCATCTTGGAAGTGAAATTATTCACGACCATCGGTAAAATCCGAGAAAAATCTTTATCATCACCTTCTTCAGTGGACATCTGAAGGAATTTTTATTGTTTCCAATAATAGCCCAGTGGAACGGACCCGTGTAAGTGTTTACTTTAATATTGTTTTCAATATATTTTCGAATTGGTCAGACCTGTCATTGATGGATGCTATAGTATACTGTATGCATCGGTAACTGCGTTCTTTTTGCGTCATAGTTACTAACTGTAACTAGCTATGAACAGTATTACACTTGCATAAAATATTCAAGATTCTAATAAAGTAGAAAAAATCTCTCATTGTGAATAAAAGAGTGTCAACTTTATCGAAGTGTTGTTCATTCTAACATAGCTGTAATGTATGTAAACGCTTTGCCGACCATGATGCTTTTCGATCTGACATCTTTTGTTAATGTTAAATATATTTTATGAAATATTCATGCTTACTGGTTTCTCGACGATTAGATACTTGAAATAGAATGATTATATACAAGTAATATTAATAGATTGATAGAAGTTAAGAGAAAGCTAAAGTTCTTTGTTTACCAACAAGGTTGAACCTGTCATTTCCAGTTCGACATCATTGAACGTCTTTCATTCAGTTTATAATAGGCCTGGTAATAGTGGTCATTATCAAAGAATTACCAAGTAAATATGTTATTAAAATTGAATATAAACACTCTGTTTCTAAAAGATCTAATTATATTTTTATATTTACACTAATATTCTAGATCTAGTATGTGTTTTACACCAGCTTAATTTTTTTTGTGTATTTCTGTTCCAGACTAAGCGGTTCGTTCATAGGCTAAGTAATTAGAAAATCTTCAATGAGTGCACAGGCAAGATGTCCACATTTTCTGGGATAGGCGGAAAAGGTGATAAGGGATCGAACAAATACAAGGCACTAAACATAAATAATATCTACCAAGGCAAGAGTGTACCAACACAGAAAAGCACAGGTAAGATTTTATTTAAGAGGGAAGAACAGGTTTTCCTGATACAACCAACAATTTCCTCATTTTTAAGCTCACATCTATAAAGTTTGTGAACATGCTATAGTATACCAGGGTTCAACACACGTCAAAATTTGGTCTCGCCATTTGGGCAACCTTGGTACTGATTTCAGGTTGTCCGAATGAATTTCAGGTCGCCCGAACAAAATATCAAAAGAACCAAAAATGTGCAATTGTTTAAAATTTGTTAAGATAACAGCGATTTTTTTCCTTATATAACTGGTACCGATAAACGGTACCATTCCCAATGCCAAAAAACGTTAATTTTTCCCAATTTTGAGACTAAAATTCCCAATTCCAGTGACAAGCAACAGCATACGATGACATCGTATTTCTTTTTGTATGAGACATTGTACAAGTTGATTGATTCACTTCCGCTTAAATTGATAGTAGAATTTAGTTGTAATATGGCGGGACCTGTGGTGTAGACTGCGTAGTCATACATTTTGACAAATTGATAGCATGAAAATGCGAAAACAAGGGACATTGGTATGAAAAACAATAAATACTTGTAGTTTATTCTTGAAAACACGGAGTAATAGGTAATGATGTTGGAATAAACGCAAAATACGTTTCATTTATTTAAATGACAGAAAATTCTTTGTTCTATTTCAAATGCTATTTTTCCCAATTGAACCGGTACCGGACCCTTTCCCAATGGGTAGAAAAAAATCGCTGTTGTGCTATTATAAAATGTAAACCAGACATTTTTGGAATATCAAAAGCTGTCTTGCTAATATACAATCTCACCTCACATATCAACACAAAATAAAGTTTCTAGTTTAAAACATTCATTTTCACTTATCAAAAAGGCCTAAATAAATGGGGTCAAACATCCCTGGACTGAATTAACCAGGTGTGATTTTTCAGTGGACACCCAACATGGCTGTCTAGCAGCAGAAAACGAACATTAGAAAGTTGTTGGGGAAAATGCTAGATGTTACAATAATGATCATTACTCTTATATTTATGGTGATTGTTGACTAGGTTTACACATTTTATATCTCAAACAAAACTTAATTAACACTTTTGGTTAAAATTACATCAGCTGATTGATCAAACACAGATTTGGCAGAAAGAAAAATCCACGCGGCTGCTAATTGAATGGGTCTGTCGGGTCACAGAAAACAATGTTTTCAAGGCCTTGTAAAGTTATTTTAAAATATTAAACATCATTATTGAGTATTCCCAACTCGTCCCAGGTCGTCATTTGGGCGAGCCAGACTGAAAATCAGGTCGTCCAAAATCAATCAGGGGTGGAAATGACGAGGTGACGAGCGTGAATGTCGAACCCTGGTATACCCCTGGTATAAGCAGTTAGAATTTTCTGTACAGCAAGTCTATTTCGAATTAAACATAAGTGTTACACTGACCATGCTTGCTTTGGATGCTGCATCTGACCTATATTTTCTGGTTGATCAACAGTGTTCAGGGGTTCAAAATTCCTCAAGCCCGACGTCCCGGACTAACAAATTCCGGATCCGGACTCGGCATTTAGAATCGCAAAAAGTCCTGGGACTAGGCAATGTTTCTTGTTTATCTTTTATTTAAGTTAAGAAAAAAGTTCGTAAAACTAAAAATAAAGCAAATTCTCAAATGTATTGAATAAAAATGTGGATTTTTTGGCGTTAATATACCCACAAAACATTACGAACGTCTCAAAAATACAATCCGTCTTTTTATGTTTCGTTGCGGTTAGACACCTGCTTTTACGCAATTTCTCATGTTTCCTCCCATATGACATGAGTTTGTTAAATTTTGGTCTTACCAGTAAGGGAACGAGAAATATAAGACCCCGTGAGGAACATGAAGCTGGGGATCAAAATAACAATTCCAAAGACGGAACCTATGACAAGAAGAGAGTTCGCGAATTCCAAAGCCACTGGCGTGATGATAGGCCGTGGCTTGATTACAATGACGATACGAAAACGATGTTTTGTTCATTTTGTCAAAGTTTTCCGATATTTAATGATGGTTTAAGTAAATATGATTTTATCTATCATGAAAATATGGACTCAGAAATTTCTTCCTCGGACTTAACTAAAATTTACTCTTTAAGTCCTGGACTTGACCATGATAAAAAAAATTTTGAACCCCTGAGTGTTTAAAGTATATGGAATAGGTGCATTATTCAGTAGTTATAAGTCCTATTATAACCATGGTAATACATATGATGGATCTAAGATTAAGAATGCACTTTACCAAACCTTCAGACCTGCTTTAGATGCTGCATCTGTTTAACATAGATTTTTTGTATGATGGTTTTGAAGCAAGCATTTTTCTAATTACTGTTAGACCTTTCAGGACTAAACTTTGCTGGATATTGATGCATACAGAGTTATCGACTTTTTTATGCCCCGCCATGAATATGGCCGGGGCATATAGTGTTTGTCATGTCCGTCTTCCGTCCTTCCGTCTGTCCTTCCGTCACACTTTGCGTTTAGCTCTGTTCAAAGCTCAGTTTCAAAGAAACTATCCAAGATATTTTTATCAAACTTCATGTGCTGATAGATATTGATGAGAGCTATGCAACTGCATCAACATTTTTTGACCTTGACCTTTCCTTTGACCTTGACCTCACTTTTCTTAAATTAGTGTTTAGCTCAGTTTTAAAGATACCAATTCAAGATAGTGTAATCAAACTTCATATGTTGATACATACTGATGTAAGCTATTCAACTGCATCAACATTTTTTGACCTTGACCTTTCCTTTGACCTTGACCTCACTTTTCTTAAATTAGTGTTTAGCTCAGTTTTAAAGATACCATTCAAGAGGGTGTAATCAAACTTCATATGTTGATACATTCTGATGTAAGTTATTCAACTGCATCAACATTTTTTGACCTTGACCTTTCTTTTGACATTGACCTCACTGTTTAGCTCAGTTTTAATGAAACCATTCAAAATATTTTTAACAAACTTCATATGCTGATACATACTGATGAGGGCTATTCAACTGCATCAATATTTTTGACCTTGACCTCACTTTTCTTAAATAGGTTTTTAGCTCTGTTTCAAAGATACCATTCAAGATAATGTTATCAAACTTCATATGCTGATACATACTGATGAAAGTTTTTCAACTGCATCAACATTTTTTGACCTTGACCTTTCCTTTGACCTGACCTCACTTTTCTTAAATTAGTGTTAAACTTTGTATGCTGATACGTAATGATGAGAGCTATTCAACTGCATCAATATTTTTTGACTTTGACCTTTCCTTTCTATTTTTTTCCTTTTCAAACAGGCCTGCAGTATGACCCCCTCCCCCCTCCTCCCCAACTTTGTATTGTGGAGAATAGTCTTCTGTAGTTCCTTTGACCTTGACCTCACTTTTCTTAAATTAGTGTTTAGCTCAGCTTTAAAACTATTCATAATATTTTTTATCAAATTTCATATGCTAATACTTACTGATGTAACCTTTTCAACTGCATAAACAATTTTTGACCTTGACCTTTCATTTGACCTTGACCTCACTTTTCTTAAATTTGTGTCAAACTTCATATGCTGATAATACTAATGTAAGCTATTCAACTGCATCAATATTTTTTCACCTTGACCTTTCCTTTGACCTTGACCTCACTTTTCTCAATTTGTGTTAAAATGTTGCATTACTAATATACCCTCGGTGGGGCATTCATGTCCTATGCAGGGTTCGACACTAACGTTAGTCCGTTAGTCTCAGACTAATACATTTTCATTCAGACTAATAAAATATGTGGCTAATTAGTCTGAACGGACCAAGAAAAATTTCTGTAAAACAATATGAATAAATTACCGATGTCGGACTTTTACTGGAAAACCCCGCGTGTATTTTTAGATTTCTAGCTTTTGGCGGGTAGTTACGCAATACCGGGTCAATTCAGCCTTAATTTTTCGACTGATCGGTATGAAGGATTTAGCGATCATGATTTAGTATGACACTTTTAAGAAAGATGTTGGACATTTTGGATGTAATGTAAAGGGGGAAAAAACGAGATCGGGAATACGATCGTACTTGCTGATAGCGAGATTTCAACGAATCCGTGGAATAATATATTTCACGTAAATACTTTGTTTATTTAAAAAATAATACGTATATTAATTGTCACATTAAATTAATGTTAAAAAACAATGATGTTTCTTTTTTTTGACGGACTAATAAAATCGCGTGCGGACTAGTAAAAGTGATGAAGCACTAGTCCGGCTGGACTAAAGCCTTAGAAAGTTAGTGTCAAACCCTGCTATGGACATATTTCTAGTTTAAATCACTGTCATACATTTGGTCCAACTAAGTCAAAGGTTCTATCGGACCAGACTGAGTTTTGTCAGACCAGATACATGTACTTTATTTTATACAGAAAAAAAAAGAAATAGTCAATTGCAACAAAATGCCCTGTATTATTTTCAACAGCATTTGATATCGCAGTTGTCTTTTCTTAGACCTTATTTGCAACTTTGTACTTGGAATGCTGCTTCTGACCTTTATTTTCTGGTTATTGACCAGCTAGCTTATAGAACTGGACCATTCCTAAGTAACTATAAATGCTACCCAGAACACACTGAAGTTGTGTCTAGGGATACACTACCAGAACTTTCATTTATTGTGAGATTTTGCCTAAGGCTTATATTAAAATGTTGCATGCAGTTACCTAATACCTACAACCCATTTTAAATGCATATATCCACAATTTATAGCTCACCTGAGCGTAAGCTTTTCTGATCACCCATTGTCCGTCATCCATTTGTCTTTCCATCCATCTGTAAACTTTTCACATTTTCAACTTCTTCTCAAGAACCATGAAGTGCCAAGCCCACTTCCTAGGGGAGATATCAAGAAATGACAAAAACTGGATGGGGTCATTAAAATATCTTCTTCCCAAGAACCACTGGACCAGAAAAGGTGAAACTTATGTGGAGGTTTCCTGAAGTAGTGTATATATATTCAAATTGTTCAAATCATGACCCCCAGGGTATGTGTGGGCCCACAATAGAGGATGGAAGTTTTAATTGACATAATATAGATGGAAAATCTTTAAAAAATCTGCTTAAGAACCACTGGGCCAGAAAACATGAAACTTGTGTGGAGGCTTCCTGAGGAAGTGGAGATTCTAAATTGTTCAAATCATGACCCCAAGGGTTAGGGTGGGACCACAATAGGGATGAAAGTTTTACATTGAAATATAGAAGAAAAATCTTCCAAAAACCACTGGATTAGAAAAGATGAAACAGGAAATAAATAGGGTGGGGTCATTAAAAAATCTTCTCAAGAACCACTGGACCATAAAAGCAAAAACTTGTGGAAGCTTTCTGAAGTAATGTAGATTGTAAATTCTTCAGATCCTGGTCTTCCGAGGTAGGGCCTTAGGCCACACTAGGGAATCAAAGTATGCAGGAAAAATCATTTTAAAAACTTCTTCTCAAGAACCACTGGACCAGAAAAGCTGAAACTGATATGAAAGCTTCACTGTAGTGTGCTTCCTGAGGTAGTGTAGAAAGTAAATTGTTCAGACCATGGTCCACAGGGGTAAGGTGGGGCCACAATCGGGATTATACAGGGGAAATCTTTTAACTCCCAAACAACAGCAAAGCAATGGATGAATCATATGAATGTGGAAGATCCTCTGGTAGATTTATTTTTGTTCAAATCACGGCCCCTGTGTATAGGGTGTGGTCACGAAAGGCAATCAAAATTTTAAAGAGTAACCATTTTGGGCTATTTCAGGAAAAGTATATATTTACAGTACATTTGAAGTTGATCTGGAAGAGTTCAATAGTCTTGTATTAACCAGAAAAAAAAATTGTATACGATTATATATTACCTGTTACAAAGGAAAATCAATTAGTAAGCTTGTTCATATTTATTACGGGTTCGACACACGTCAAAATTTGGTCTCGCCATTTGGGCAACCTTAGTACCGATTTCAGGTTGCCCGAATGAATTTCAGGTCGCCCGAATGAATTTCAGGTTGCCTGAACAAAATATCAAATGAAAAAAAATGTGCAATTGTTAAAAATTTGTTAAGATAACAGAAGTTGTGCTTTTGTATTATAAAATGTAAACCAGACATTTATGGAATGTCAAAAGCTGTAATGTATAATCTCACCTCACATATTGACACAAAATAAAGTTTCTAGTTTAAACATTCATTTTCACTTACCATAAAGGCCTAAAAATGGGGTAAAACATCCCTGGACTGAATTAACCAAATGTGATGTTTACAGTGGACACCCAACATGGCTGTACGAACATCAGAAAGTTGTGGGGGGAAATACTATATGTTACAAAAATGATCATTACTCTTTATATTTATGGTGATTGTTGACTAGGTTGACATATTTTATATCTCAAATAAAACTTAATTTAATACTTTTGGTAAAAATTATATCAGCTGATTGATCAAACACAGATTTGGCAGAAAGAAAAATCCACGAGGCGGGTTACAGGAAACAATGTTTTCAAGGCCTTGTAAAGTTTATTTTAAAATATTAAACATCATTATTGAATATTCCCAACTCGTCCCAGGTCGTCATTTGGGCGAGCCAGACTGAAAATCAGGTCGTCAAAAATCATCACGGGATGGAAATGACAAGGTGACGATCGTGAATGTCGAACCCTGTTATTAAAAAAATTTCTACAACCATAAATTTGGATATATTTTAGGTATTTTAGGTTTAGTTTCACATACAATTAACCCCCCCCCCCCCCCATCTCAGTATCATAAGATAGATATATGTATGAATATAAAGAAAAAGCTTGGTTTGGTAAGTAAATGCTTGTTCTGGTAAAACATGCCTCATGTCCTGCAAAAATTTTGGACTTTGGCATAGACTGGTGTAATATAATTTTATCTTTGCAGTAGCACGTCAGCATGGGTTACAAAGCTTGGGTAAAGTGGCAAGCATGCGGCGTATGCCGCCTCCGGCTAATTTACCAAGTTTGAAAAGTGAGAATAGTGGAAACGATCCTAACATCAATTTAGTACCAACAGGAGGTTCAGGTAAGCTTTTTTTATGTACTGCTATAAATATGGCCAGGGGATGCTTGTCATGTCTGTTTTCCATCCTCCCTTTGCTTTTGTCTTCTGTCTGTCCATATATGTTGCAGGAATTTAACTCAGTTTCAAAGAATCTGTTCAAGATTTGTTTATCAAAATTCATAATGGTGAAAGAGCCATTCAGCTTTGACATCATTTTGAGACCTTGACCTCCCCTATTACCTTTGCCTCAGTATTCCTTATTTTCAATATTAGCTCAAAAGAAACTATACAAGATTTTTTTTCATCTCATACACTGAGTGCTCTCAATTGTGATGACAATTCCTATGATTTTGACCTTGATCAAATCAATTTGATATTTTAAAGAATAGACAAAACATATGATATGTTCATCTCTGTCCCTATCATTTAAGAAGGTATATTAAATATATCAAGTAGGAGGTAGACTTGTATTTTTACTGCATTGCATGTTTCACCTCTGAATCAGATTTTGATTGCAATAGGAAAATGCATTGCTCAATATTTAAACATGTTAGCTTATGCCATCACTTAGTATCTGGCATCATAAAATTTTTGCAAAAAATTCCTCCTCTGAAATGACAGGGCAGATTTTTCTGAAGCTCTAAAGCTATGATATGGGGTAAGTCCTCTACAGCAATCCACTTTTCTTACTGATCTAATAAAAAAAAACAAGGTCACTATTACTAAAACAGCAAGACTATGTTTATCAGTTGATAATCAACATTCCCTTGTTTGCAAACTCAGAGACCCGTACAGTGAAGGGAGAGCTGGTAACACACTCAAGTGGTATTTTATGAAAGTTTATATTTAAAACATAGAATTTCATGAAATGCTTGTTTTGTGTTAACACGAAAACCGATTACAGTGACGGAACGATGAAATTCCAGAAATTCACAATTTTTTTTTCTTCCAAACCTTAAAAAAAACTTTAGGGTCGGTTGCAAAAAAATAGGGTTGGTCTGGTAGCAGGAAATAAGACATTTTTTTTTGCCTTATTTAAAGAATTACAGTGGCTTTTTCTGTACACAGTGATGCCCAAGCCAAGAACAGATAAAATTTTGGGAAACCCCATGCAAGTAGAGTACACTAAGATACATAATTCTGTGTATTGGTTTTTGATTTTGTTGAACAGTGTTGCCATGGTTACTAAGAAATTTCTGTGAAATTGTTCAAAATGCTACTCCTCCTACAGTTTTGGTCCAATGTCAGTTAACTTGGTACACAAGTAGATTTCACTAAGATACATAATTCTATTTATAATTTTTTTATTTCGATGAATGTTGTTGCCATGGTTACAAAAAATACAAAATTCTGTGAAATTCTTTCAAAATGCTACTCCTCTTACAGTTGTAATCCGATCACAATGTAACTTGGTACTAAGTAGACTACACAAGGATGCTTTCAATTTTAGTCCTATTTCAATATAGCTTTGTACACAAATACACTACATTAAGATACATAATCTTTGTGTATCAGTCTTTGATTTTGTTGAAGTGTTTCCATGGTTGCTAAAAATAGAAATTTCTGTGAAATTCTTTCAAAATGTTACGCCTATTACAGTTTTTGTCCAATTGCAATTAAACTTGAGTCAGAGACTAAATCAAGAATCGTTATTTTATTTATTTCTCTTGCCATGGATTTAAGTCTAAGTGCTACCTTTATCTACTTTTGTTAAGTATAAACTATTAGAGCTACAGTCTTGTCAGAGAATTCTGGTTTCTGTTTGATCCCGTATAAATTCAGGTTGACATTGTTTCCTTTTTCTGTATTACCTAAATTCATACATAGTATGTTACCGGCCCCTGTGCCAAAAGATAAGGTCATAATTTTTTCGTAAAATAATGAGAGAGAGAGAGAGAGAGAGAATTAAAATCTGAGGAACAACAGGGCTAATGTTACCTGGCTGACCATTGTGGCTCATGAACTTGTTTGGTTTCAGTATCCAAGAGGAATCATTCATATATTAATATCTTACCATGAAGGTTGGATTTGAAAGAATTATCTATGATTTAAGTTGTTTTTGTTTTTCAGGATGGGGCACGAAGGAGAAAGAACAAGAGAAGTCGACTGCTACGACAAGTCAGCCGCCATTGTCGCAGCCATCGCAGGCTACTGCAGTGCCATCCGCACTATCTACAACAAAGGTTTGTCTGCCTGATTCATGAAATCCAGTAGTTGATCTTATTTGTAGATATACATGTATTTAAAATTTATAACTACTTTAGACAACTGTTGCTGGGGGCAGTGCAGCAGTAACTTCATCAACAACACCATCCGGGACAAATACAGCACCAAAGTCCTGGAGCAGTGTAGCACTTGGAGAAAGGGGCAGAACTCTTGGTCACCATTCACCTTACCAGGTACTAAAATACACAAAGTGGGAACAGTTGAATGAAGATTATTGTGTAGTATTGTATTATATATCAGTATTTTAAGTGATATATGTATATATATGTATATACGTGTGTGTGTATATATATATATATATATATATATATATATATATATATATATATATATATATATATATATATATATATATATATACACATATGTATATATATATATAGTACTACATATAAACTGTTTCAGGAGGAATTTCCAACATTAAAGTCAGCAGGGGAAGACAAAGGAAAAGATGGCAAGAAAGAAGAAGAAGGAACAGATACACAGTATGGACCAGGGCCAAGTTTGCGACCTCAAAGTAAGTGGCATATAAAAAAGTAATGAATGCTACCCCCTACATAGGTATATATACATGTATGTTAATGAGCTCTGTTTATATTTGAATTTAATTTTGCTAGATGTCGCGAGTTGGAGAGAAGGAGGTGGGCGTGGCGCCATGCAACAGCAGCAAAGCAAGCCAGATTCACCATCATCACCAACAGGATCTATGTCCCAAGGCCAGACCGAAACACAACAGAATGGCCCCCAGACATCGGGCCCAACAGAGGTTCCCAGTCAGCCTCCAAGGCCTGGCTCGGGGCCTTCAGGAGGACCCATGCCTATGGGTCCTCCAATGGGAATGCCACCTCAGTATCGGATGATGCCTCCATATGTAAGTACATGGTGAAAAATCAGTTTTATAAGAGATATGTGGCTTTGATTGATTCAGTTAAACATTGATGCAATATTTGTAGATGTATGGCAGATTCCCACCTGGCTACCCACCTAATTATCAAGGGATGCCAAGACCTCCCTATCCGTATGATCAGAGGTAAAAAAAAAAAAAGTTTGCCATTAAGATTTAAAGAAATGGAGGTTACAAAGAAATACAAAATGTAGATGTTTTTCAGAGTGTTTAATTAGGGCCCCGCAAGGATTTTCGGGTGCCCTATAGTAATCACTCCATCTGTCTGTCTGTCTGTCTGTCATTCTTCCGTCCACAAATTTTCTGTTTTTTTCCAATAACTTTTTTTGTAGTTGACCAATTAAGTTCAGATTTGTTATGTTGGTTGAAGAGGCAGTAAGACATATTTTGATGCTAAGTTTGGTTCTCTATGTCATCCAGTTTGGAGCTGGGGTGGTGGGGTAGATTCCTTAACTTTACATTAGAATGAATGCCAGGGCAAAGAGAGATAATTCTGAGAATGTTCCTATTGTAAACTATGAAAGCTGCAACTAGTCCCATGGGATTAATTAACTTTTCTCTTGAAGAAAATCCAAAGCATTATCTGTTTCTGTCAAATTGAGATTAATTAACACCTCTGTCTGCAAATGAAGTTAGTTTTGAAGTTAAGGTCAATTCTGAATGATGTTTACATTCTCTGAAATGTGGATTTAAATAATGTTCATACTTTATTTTGGTAAAATATACAATGAGTTATGATTTTATTGAATTCTAAAAACAAGATATACATAAAGATATGTTTTTTTAAATTTTTTTTTTTTGTTTTTATTTTATTTATTGTTTTTTTTGTTTTTTGTTTTTTTGGCTGCCGTATGTAAATTCAAGAATACTATTAATTTTAAAGGGGGAGGAAATAAGCACCTCCTTCGAATTTACCTGGTCTTAGAACCCCTGTCAATCATCTGAAATTAAGCCTGGGATTGGATACTTGGATTTGATTGACATTTAGTTTTCTGCCGTTGTGTATATCTTGTGTACCTTGTCTGGAGCTTGTACCGACCATCGAATTTACATTCAGGCTTTTGATGCCTACCGCAAATGCCAAGAAGCAATCAAGGCATTTTTTTAAATTCAGTGATTAATTAAATGATAAGAAAAATCATGCTTATATATTAAAATTGTAATTTAAAAAGGGGGATTTCATTTCACGATTACAATCGATAATTATAATTTGTCAAAACATAATTTAACTAACGTACATTTATTCTACCTTAACAAAATATACCGACCCGCGTTTGAAATATCATGGAATTAAATAAAAAAAAATTTTTTTTAAACAGGTATGACAACATTGTAATATTGCTCAAGTGAAACTTTATAAGACAAATACGTGTCGCTTTTCTTCAAGACATGGTGACAAAGTTACAGTATAATAACCAGTTTTAGAAGAGAAATTATTTGGATTATAACATCTTGCTTTGCATGTAATATTTGAAATTATGAATCCCGAAGGAAAAAAGTACAATGCAGGTGATTCAATTCCTGTTTCACTTATAGCTGTCGAGGGAATCACCCCAGGTCCAAAGCCCTGGGCATTTTTACAGACAATGTGTCTGAAAAATCATGTAGGAATTATCTTCTATTAGACTTTATTTAGTTTATTATATTTCTACACAATTTAGCCTCCAAACAGCGTTTCTGAGTTTTATTATTACGGAGAGACTTATTTATGACCCACTTTCTTCTTTTGTATTGCGTACACGACGTGCAATTTGAATTACTTCCCTTTGTGTCGCCAGCTTACAATGACAAATTTTGGTCCTATAACATTCGTTATAACGTGAAATTAATTAACAAACACACAGTATAATTGAAATTGACAAATTATTACAAAAGATTAATTTTAAAAGAAAGAATTTTAGAAGGATTCTGCCCGCAACAAAAATATTTCGCATGCTTTATTTCAGAATGTTACGGTCAACATTTCAATTGACCTACACAAGAAAAACAATGAATGCGTTTTACTATGTCGTAGGAAAACGAAAACAGGTAATACATTCAGGTAACATCCTGTGTATAAAGGTAGGTATACACAAGCCAGCGTCGTTCCCTTGGGGCTTCTCCGACGATTCGATTAAGCTCCACCCTACACCAAACTTACCTGAGGAAAACCGACCGGTTGAAAACCTCGGCCTTTAACGGGTAGTCCAATAATAAACTCATTCTATCATTACTGAAAGAGTTCTTATTGTAAACTTGGAAGAAAAGGATGAGAGAGCAGTACAATTAATCCCTTGGGATCAATTATCTTGTCTGGAGCAGAAAATTTTCCAGGCTTATCTTTATTTGTCACTTTAAGATAAATTAACCTTTGTCTGCAACTGATGTTTGTTTTGAAGTTAAGGTCAAGCCTGGGTGATATTTGTATTCACTGAAGGCTGGCATTTTATAAAACACATGCTTTTTTCTTGTTTAAATATACATTTAATAGTTATTATAAATATGATGTTTTTACTGCCTTATGTAAATACAGGGATACTCTTTACAGGTTGTTGGATATTTAGGAATTATCTTGAAATTTTATTAATACAGTTGTTATTGCATATTCCTCTTCATATATTTTTAAATTTATGTAATCAATTAAAATTCTCATTCTGTAAGCTATACCCTTACATTTCTACCCCTCAGCAGGGCCCTTGCTGACTGGTCAGTTTTCTAGGTTTTTTTGTTCCCCACTTTTACTAAAGTAGATAGGGCTGTGTCAATATATCGATTAATCAATATGTATCGAATACTCAGGAATGTATTGTATCGAAAAAATAACTTCCAATACGTATCGGGCAGGCAGTTTTTCTTATAATTCTGTGAAAAAGTTGGGAATTTCAGTCACCAAAGGTTATTTTTAACTGTTTTGAATTAAAAATGATCGATAGTGAAATTAACGTTAAGGAGATAGCACATCTTAAATAACTATTACAAAATACATGAACTATATTTTAACATGTTAGTTTTACAATCATTAAAAGTTTGAATTTGAAGTGTACTTTGTAAAGACAGTGAGACATGAACTTCCAATTTGGTAATAAAACACCCAGTTTTTATCAAATCTATGAATTAAAATTAATGATATACAAGACTTTTTTGATTGACTTGTTAAAGAACCCAATATATCGCATATTGCTTTATAAAATATCGTATCGTATCGAAATATTTTGCTCAATACACAGCCCTAGAAGTAGAGGATATATATGAGTCTACAGTCATTCTGTCTGTTTAACACTTTTGTATCCGGACTGTATCTCAAAAAGACTAAGCTTTTGCAATGAAATTTTATATAACAATTCCCTATGGCCTAAAGAAGACCCCTACTGATTCTGAGGTCCAAAGGTCAAGGTCAGAAATTTGTGAATTCTATCTGTGTGTAACACAATATCTCCAAAAGCCTTAGAGCTTAATATCTCTCCCAGTGTCTTAAAGAAGACCCCAAATGCTTTTAAGGTCAAGGGCAGAAGTTCATACATTGCCAAAAAAAAATGGTTTACAAATGATTAGCTTCCCTAGAGCCTTTTCAATGAAATCTTTTATCATACATTGTACATCCAACTCTAAAAAATTCATATTGAGCATAAAATGGTTTCTTTAAGATAACTAATTTCTCTCTGAGCTTTGGCAATGAAATTTTAAACCTTTAGTCAGTATGACGTTAAACAAGACTATTGTGTATTATTGATTTTGAGGTTAAAAGGTCAAAGACCAAGGTCAGGCATACATATTGCTTTAGTTCTCTCTCTTTGCAATGAAATATAAAGTCATGAATTTAACTTACAAAAAGACTTGACTTGAAGGCCAAAAGCTGAAAGGTAAAGGTTTACCTTTTTTTCTTCCAATTGCATTTTTTCTGTTTTTGTTTTATTTTTTTCATAACGGGGGAACACAAATTATCTGAATTTGTTTGTTTAAATTTAGGTTTAGACATCCACCTCCTATGCCACAACAGCAGAGGCCCCCTGTTGGTGGTGAGGGGGAAGAATACAAGAGAGCTGCTATTATCTCTGAAAAAGACCTGAAAGATTTTGACAATCTACGACTTGAACATGAAGATGAGGGATGGGCTGGGGCACAGGGTGAAATTGATTACTCGTAAGTAATATTTGATAAAAAAGGATAATATTGTCTTGATGAAAATATTTTGTAATTTTTGTTATTATACCCCACGCAACAAGTTGCGTGAGGTATAATGTTTTTGACCCGTCCGTCAGTCAGTCAGTCAGTCAGTGTGTCAGTCAGTGTCAGTCAGTCAGTCCGTCAGTCCTGTTTTTTTGTCAGCGCAACTCCTCATAAACCGCTGCACAGAATTTCGTCAAACTTTGCAGATATTTAGGACACAATGTGTAGATGTGCATATTACCAGGAAATTCCGATTCCTTTATTTTTTCTCGGAATTTCGGCACTTTTCAACTTAGATTTTTGGCCATATCTTGAATATGGAGATGAACAGTTTGTCAGCGCAACTCCTCATAAACCAATGCACAGAATTTGGTCAAACTTTGCAGATATTTAGGACACAATGTATAGATGTGCATATTACCAGGAAATTCCGATTCCTTTATATTTTCTGGGAATTTCGGCACTTTTCAACTTAGATTTTTGGCCATATCTTGAATATAAAGATGAACAGTTTGTCAGCACAACTCCTCTTAAACCGCTGCACAGAATTTGGTCAAACTTTGCAGATATTTAGGACACAATGTGTAGATGTGCATATTACCAGGAAATTCCGATTCCTTTATTTTTCTGGGAATTTCAGCACTTTTCAACTTAGATTTTTGGCCATATCTTGAATATAGAGATGAACAGTTTGTCAGCGCAACTCCTCTTAAACCGCTGCACAGAATTTGGTCAAACTTTGCAGATATTTAGTACACAGTGTGTAGATGTGCATATTACCAGGAAATTCCGATTCCGTATTTTTCTGGGAATTTCGGCACTTTTCAACTTAGATTTTTGGCCATATCTTGAATATAAAGATGAACAGTTTGTCAGCACAACTCCTATTAAACCGCTGCATAGAATTTGGTCAAACTTTGCAGATATTTAGGACACAATGTGTAGATGTGCATATTACCAGGAAATTCCGATTCCTTTATTTTTTCTCGGAATTTGGGCACTTTTCAACTTAGATTTTTGGCCATATCTTGAATATGGAGATGAACAGTTTGTCAGCGCAACTCCTCATAAACCAATGCACAGAATTTGGTCAAACTTTGCAGATATTTAGGACACAATGTATAGATGTGCATATTACCAGGAAATTCCGATTCCTTTATATTTTCTGGGAATTTCGGCACTTTTCAACTTAGATTTTTGGCCATATCTTGAATATAGAGATGAACAGTTTGTCAGCACAACTTCTCTTAAACCGCTGCACAGAATTTGGTCAAACTTTGCAGATATTTAGGACACAATGTGTAGATGTGCATATTACCAGGAAATTCCGATTCCTTTATTTTTCTGGGAATTTCAGCACTTTTCAACTTGGATTTTTGGCCATATCTTGAATATAGAGATGAACAGTTTGTCAGCGCAACTCCTCTTAAACCGCTGCACAGAATTTGGTCAAACTTTGCAGATATTTAGTACACAGTGTGTAGATGTGCATATTACCAGGAAATTCCGATTCCGTATTTTTCTGGGAATTTCGGCACTTTTCAACTTAGATTTTTGGCCATATCTTGAATATAAAGATGAACAGTTTGTCAGCACAACTCCTATTAAACCGCTGCATAGAATTTGGTCAAACTTTGCAGATATTTAGCACACAATGTATAGATGTGCATATTACCAGGAAATTCCGATTCCTTTATATTTTCTGGGAATTTCGGCACTTTTCAACTTAGATTTTTGGCCATATCTTGAATATAAAGATGAACAGTTTGTCTGCCCAACTCCTCTTAAACCGCTGCACAGAATTTGGTCAATCTCTGCAGATATTTAGTACACAGTGTGTAGATGTGCATATTACCAGGAAATTCTGATTCCATTATTTTTTCTGGGAATTTCGGCACTTTTCAACTTAGGTTTTTGGCCATATCTTGAATATAGAGATGAACAGTTTGTCAGCACAACTCCTCTTAAACCGCTGCACAGAATTTGGTCAAACTTTGCAGATATTTAGGACACAATGTGTAGATGTGCATATTACCAGGAAATTCCGATTCCTTTATTTTTCTGGGAATTTCAGCACTTTTCAACTTAGATTTTTGGCCATATCTTGAATATAGAGATGAACAGTTTGTCAGCGCAACTCCTCTTAAACCGCTGCACAGAATTTGGTCAAACTTTGCAGATATTTAGTACACAGTGTGTAGATGTGCATATTACCAGGAAATTCCGATTCCGTATTTTTCTGGGAATTTCGGCACTTTTCAACTTAGATTTTTGGCCATATCTTGAATATAAAGATGAACAGTTTGTCAGCACAACTCCTATTAAACCGCTGCATAGAATTTGGTCAAACTTTGCAGATATTTAGCACACAATGTATAGATGTGCATATTACCAGGAAATTCCGATTCCTTTATATTTTCTGGGAATTTCGGCACTTTTCAACTTAGATTTTTGGCCATATCTTGAATATAAAGATGAACAGTTTGTCTGCCCAACTCCTCTTAAACCGCTGCACAGAATTTGGTCAATCTCTGCAGATATTTAGTACACAGTGTGTAGATGTGCATATTACCAGGAAATTCTGATTCCATTATTTTTTCTGGGAATTTCGGCACTTTTCAACTTAGGTTTTTGGCCATATCTTGAATATAGAGATGAACAGTTTGTCAGCACAACTCCTCTTAAACCGCTGCACAGAATTTGGACAAACTTTGCAGATATTTAGTACACAGTGTGTAGATGTGCATATTACCAGGAAATTCCGATTCCATTATTTTTGCCTTAAGAGTTTTGCCTTTTATTGAAGAAACTTTCCAGCTAGGTAATAAGAAACTCCAATGGAATCAGCTTTTTATAATGAAATTCTATGTGAAATATTTTATGACCTTAAAAGACCCCTATTGATTTTGAGATCAAAATATTAATGGTTTAACACAAACACACACTCACACACACACCATCTTCGATAGTTCTCTCTCCCCCCCCCCCCCCCCCCCCCCCCCCCCCCTTCAAATTGGTGTGCTTTGCCTTAAATAATTTCATAAGTACAGTATATAAACAGATTCATATGACTACATCATAATTTTGTTTCCATCAATTATTTAAATGTGTAAACTGTCATGTGTTGGACATGGACTTACACTCATTAACAAATCGAAATCACTGAGGAATTTAAATAACAGTTTGTCAGCATAATTCCGGCACTGAATTTCCTGAAACTTTGTAGGTATTTCAGAATAATGTATAGATTTGTATATTACCAAGAAATTTTGATTCCATTATTTATCTAGAAACTTCAGCCCAGTTAAATTTGTAACATACAAAGATTTGAATGTCCTTATATGCAAGAAGTTTTGATGTGATGATTTTTTGCAAGTAATGCCCCTTTTTTGAATTATACTGTGTATTTAAAATGCACTGTGCCATTCATTACGTGTTGCATTGTCGAGTTTTGGGGAAGCGTGGGGTATGTGAGCTTGCTCACTTTTTCTTTCATTTAGAATGAACCTTAATCGTAATTTATATTTAGGTTTATATAAACTTTAATTTTATTTTTCAGTGAAAAACTTGTCTTCAGTGATGAAGAAGATGACGATAAAGAAAGGTAAGTAGATGTAAAGATTAAAAATCATCATGAAGAATTACCAGAGAAAGTGCTAGAATTTTAGGCCCCCCAAAAAATTGATTTTTAGTTTCTCGGGCCAAAAATTTCAATGCCACAGGCAGTTTTTTTCTGCAGGTGTCATTTCTTTTTTTCTTGTAAATCAACAAAATGATGAAATATACTTATTATAATTTTTTAGGTTTTTGGAGTCTTGTTTATAATTTGATTATTATATCAACTTAAATTAATTTTAGTCCAAACATTTTATAAGTCAAGAGATATTTTGTTTATAAACGTATATACTTAAGACGTCTTTTTATTAGCATGCGTGAAAAGAGAAATAACTGAATTTTCTTTCGCAACTTGGAAAAAGTAGAAAATTGAGCTATTTCCCTTTTCAATGTCAATAGAATTGATCGATGTGGCAGTGTTTGACCTGATGTGGCGGTGTCTGAAAAAACTAGACACAATTTTTTTTGCTTCATTGGAATTTGATTGATGATACATTTTCAGTAGTAAATCTCGGCCTAGGAGAGGTGACAAGAGAGAGAGGAAGGACATTATGAATGAGGAAGATGATGGTGGCAAGGTGTGTGATTTTTTTCCTTATATTCCATTGGTTTGGTTTTAAACATGCTTTTAATATTTGTTTCAGTAATAAAATGCATACTTTTCAATATCTGTACACTCGTTAAGATTTGTTGGTACTTGGAAAGATGTTGTTACTCCAAATTAAGAATAGAAGGTTCTCAATACTGTTTGAACAGGAAGTATACCCTTGGTGCAGTACACACAGTTTAAATATTTCTCTTGATGTACAGGACATGCATGCTTCATGTATATAATGTTTTATGTGTGCAGGGAGAAAGAGGATCCAATATGCCAAGAGAGGCCTGGGGTGGTGGACCTGTTCCTCCCCAATATAGAGGCAGACCTCCTATGGGAATGGATGGGGTAAGAGAAATCTGCTCATAAGTATTTAATTTTTAAATGTAGAGTTTTCCGTTTGCTGATTTTGAAGTCTGTTTTTCAGAGGTGGCAGATGCCTCCATTTGATTATATGGGACCTCCCCCAAGAGGACCTCCATATCCACAGTATAGAGTACCCCCTCCAGGTCAACGTCCACCAGGGCCATATCCCCACCCCCAGATGACCCCACCACATCCCCCGCAAAGTCCTCAGAGTCCAGGACCAAGTCCGAGTCCAAATCAGACTCCAAAAAAGAGTGAGACAAAAGATGAATTGGAGGAGGAGCTTTGGAAGGAGAAGCGCCTGCAGCGAACAGAGGAGATGTCAACTGCCATCCAAAGAGCTCGTCAGAGACGTGAAGATGAGGAGAAACGAATGGAAGTGGAGCGGAAATCTGCTGCTGCAGAAAAACTTAGACAACTGGATGAACGCAGCAAGAAACGTGAAGATCGGGTGTGTGAACAATTCTGGTTTCCAGTTTTACGCAGAAATGAACAGAACTAAAAAAAATTTTAATTTCAGTTTTCAATTTGCCTCTTATAGATAAGTCCTCTCTGAATTGTTAAAGCTTTTTTTGCATTTTAAAGGTTATTAAGAACATTTACTAAAGGTTAGCAATAAGCTAACAATTCAGATACAAATAAAACTTGTAGGTTGTATGATCATTCTAATATCATGTTGTCTATTATTAGGATGTGGAATCTGACAGCAGGTCAGAGGGAAGGTCAGAGGGAGGAAGATCTAGTAGAACACCATCTGAGAGTAGCGAAAAAGAATTCAAAACTCATAAAGAACAGCACAAGCACTCAGAGGTAGACTTACATTTCTATCAAAAATGTAGTCTCTTTGTGTTTTTCCCAACATTGATACAAAGTACATTTATCATAAAACTGTTAAGTAATCTATCCCTAGTGCAATGAGCTGTCATTTCAAACTAGCAATTGATAACTCAGACATATAAAATGGATTAGACATGTACATACTTTTTGCAACTTCTGATCATTGTCATCAAAGAAGAAGGTGTTCTGTCCCTGCAAACCTTTGAATTATAGATGTTGCCTGGAACATAACAGCACACATTTAGCACATTAGTGGTCCAGATACTGCATACTTTCAAGGTCTTTTAAGGTCACCTGAGTTGCTTAGATGACCTATTGCTATCTGTTTTCGTCTGTTGTTGTCTGTTAAGATTTGAACATTTTAAGCTTTTACTCTGGAACTGCAGAACAAATTTTGACCAATTTGGTATATAGCATCTATTGGCGAAGGGGAAAAAACTGAATTTCATTGTATCGGCCTCTCAGAGACTTGAGGGTAGGGGCCAAAACCATCAAAATGAATGCAATCTTCAAAAATCTTCTGTACATTCTGAACATTAGGCAGTCAAACTGTTGGCATGATCATAATAAGCATTGAGCCATCTACTACCGAAATTGTGAAATTCTTGGCCCCAGGGTCAAGGGTTCTGGAGATGGGGCAAGCTTTAATGATCATTAAGTGAAAATGCTTAAAATCTTTAAAAATTTTCTCCTTTCCCCCAGTAAAATTAACAGATAAGCTAGGTGCATTGTTATCATGAGCAAACTTATTAAATTTGTGACCCCAGGATAATGGGCTCTTGAGGGGGCTCTATTGATTATATAGTGAAAATGCATTTTTTCTATGAAAATCTGCTGCTCTGCTTCTGAGCATCTAAGAGGCAAAGTACAAATATGTAATAAGCAAGGGTATTTTTACCAGAAAAGTGAAATTCTCTACCTTTTGGTCAAGTATTCTGGTGCCAGGCAGGCCTCTATCAATTTGTTTTCTACTACAAGAAGTTATTTCCCATTGCGATTCACCTATTATAATTAATCACTGTAAATAATGTAACTAAAAGGTCAATTGAGTAAGAAATTTATGCAAGAATTTTCATAATATATAATACAAAAAGTACTGTCATAGTTTTAATTGTCACATAGACTTGAAAATAATAGGTAAATAAAAATGAGACAAAAATGCCTCATTTCTGTACATTAAATGTTCTTTTAAGACCAAGAAAGGCCATTGAGAGAGAGATTGGAATGGTTTACTAATTGTGTTCAAGCATTATCATTTTATTTATTTTAAAAGGTTGTACTGAAAAATGGGAAGTACAGGCAAGAGTAAATAGATACTTTAAGATTTATTACAGAGTACTAAACTACTATTATTTTCTTGATCCCTGATCATCCCATTTCTCTTGCTTTTGGGCGACGACATAGCTTAATCAATCAGTTTATTTTGTTTTATTTATACATGTACTTCTATGGATCCTTTACAATGTTGTATTATACTCGGGTGACCATTAAGGTCCTTGGGCCTCTTGATATTGAGAGTTAAATATGAAGTCATTCCCATTCAGCAGTAAAATATATCTTTCAGTCCAACAAAGCCAGCTCAAGATCAGCTGTTCCACCACGGTTCCAGAAGCAGCTTTCTAATGAACATCCACCTACATCAGTGAGGCAGACAGGTCAGGGCACTCCTACATCACCACAGCCCCATCCTCAGATGAGACCAGGGCAAGGGGGGCCTCCACCTCCATGGTTTTGGCACCCATCCATGCAGATGCCTCCTTATGCTTTTGGAAGACCTCCAGTAGATATGCAGGGTAAGTCTTGCTTATTGATATGGTGTGTAATGGCGCAAGTGCTATTCTTTGAAAAATGGGGGGGGGGGGGGGGTTGGTAGGTACTTTTTTTTTACCCCACGACCCATACATTTTAAATTACCTTTAACCCACCTCCATCAAATTCAACAGGCTTTTCATGCAACCACCCTTCTGAATTAATATCTTATTTTAATGAATGATTTTTTTTGGCCATGTTCTATAGAGAAAAAGCTATGCAGGGAGAAGCTGAGAGCCTTATTATGACTTGTATGTTTATGCAACTTGTAACATTATTATGAAATCTGTATAAATTCATGCAAAACTGATGTAGACATAACTTTGACATTCCTTCAATTAATTGAAGTTGTATATGTTGAATATTTCTGCTCTTTTGGTGCAATGTACAACATACTTTAATCAGGTGAATTCAGTAGGTATGCTCTGATTTTCTTCACAAGTAATTTAATTCTTTTTCTCGTTTTGCTTAGAAACAATCCCAATTTTATTGGTAGTTTCTAATATTACTAACCAATGATATCATTTTTGATTAAATTGGCAAAAAGCAGTACATGTATGGAGGCAAAGCCCAAGGAATATTAAATCTGGTGTCCTCAAATGTCCACCACTGCCATCGCAATTTTATTAGCACATGCTTTTACAGTTATCTGCCCTTGTTTTTGTTTGTTCGATAATGGTTTCATTCCAAGTGTAACCACACTAGCTAATAATTCGAGCAAGCGTTTCATAAAAAGTAGTTATTAATTTATATGAAAAAGGCAAAATATATTGCAGTTGATTATTTACAAGGTAAATACAACCATCCCTAACAATATTTGTTGGAGGACAATCATTCATATGAATTTTGATTGCTCCAGACCAACACTACCCATGAAAAAATGCTGTATAAAACTTTTTTTTTCCAAGGGGGTCTTTTTCACAATTTCTGTTCCATCTGCAAGGATTATTTGGAATGACATTGAATGTCTTACAAGCTTTTGTATGCACTTAAAGTACTTGTATAAATTTCCACGGTAAATTTGTGACAGTGTACATAGGTCAAATGTACCCCAAGTACGTCTACAGTATACTCTTATGTACTGTCTGACCCTCCAGTACATTTTTTCCTGGAATAGCCCTAAGAATGAAACCAGTCAAATTGTTAAGACACTTGGAGATACTAAATGTTTGTTAATGAAATCTTGCTGTTTTAGGGATGCCAATGTATCCACCAATGCGGCGTAGAAATGACAGTCATGGTTCTGGCAATGATGGTCAAGATGGTGAGGGAAGACCAGAAGGATATGAAAGGGGTGACCCCAGACAGTTTTATCCTCCAATGCCTCCACACCTACAGTTTGATGGGCGTGGACCTCCACCTTACTTTGATCAAAGAATGTTTTCAGACTATGAGAAACAAATGATGGAATATGAAAGAAGGCAGGATCAGGACAGACGAGAAAAGGATCATCGAGCTGATCGTAGTTATGAAGAGGAACAAGAGCCTGAAACAAGAGCCCCAGAAAAAAGAACACCCCGACTACAGAAGGATCCATTCGATGATACACCTGATGATAGATACACTCCTTCACCCAAGTAAGTACACATGTACTTTTTTGTCCAAAAATATACTAATTATTAATCAGTGTTAAAGGAAGAGAAACCTAGCTGTAGAAGGAAAAAATCATATCTGTTAAATTACTTTTGGTTATTTAGGGATTCAAAGAAAGAGAGTAGGTTAGAAGATAAGAAAGATGAAAAACAGTCAAAAGAGGATCTGAGAGAAAGAGTGGATCATTATGATGACAGAAAAGAACGACGAAGTGATAAAGGTAGCGACCGAAGAGATGATAGAAAAGATAGAGAAGTTGACTCGCAGAAGAGTTACAGAAACAAGGAGGGTCGTTCCAGTAAAGCTCCATGGTCTACAGATGATGGAAGTCGATCTTACCGGGAAAGTAAGAACTACGAAACCTAAATACTAGAATTGACCATTGTATGTTATGTTAACAAGAAGAGTTTATCTGTACTTTAAATGTCCACTTTCAGAGAGAGAATATCCAAACTGTCCCCCACCTATTCCTGCTCAACAATCACAGCAGAACCTTCCCCCAAGATCCAACTACACTACACTAAAAAGACCTTTATCAAACACTAATGACAGGAAAGCTGAATATATGAAAGAGCAAAGCGAGGCAAAATCAAAGTCAACAAGCAAGGTAAAAGTTTTTTAGAAAATAATTAAGAGTAGACTTTGTGCATATTATAGTGTATTTGTGTTGTATGTAAAAGACATTTTGATAAAAAAAATTTTTTTTTTTTAGGATCAACAAAGAGATTTCAAGTCTGGTAAAGAAAACAAGTCTGCAGAAAGAGAGGAGAGGTAGATTTTTCTTTTGTGTTTTAGTAAGCTGAACAGAAGACAAGTTTCAAGTGTACATGTTTATTTGGCAATTTTATTGTTTTTCTTTACCAAATTATTGTCAAGCTGCAACTTTGTCTCTTTTTTATTTGTGGAGGATTCAACTATAGAATGTTGTTCAAATATCTATATAATAACATGTATGTGTTGATTAAGGTAAACTTTGCAACACTTGCTTGAGCTTAATTCATAATTTGCAGTCATACTTTTATTAATATCTATACATGTATTTATGTAAGTTGTGTAGAATTCAAGGTCACAAATTCACAACTGGTGGAAAAAAAATTGCACATTTATTTTCAGTCAAATTACTTTTTTCAGACCAAAGCAGATAGATGAACAGGACAAGAGCATGGACCGGTCTGAAAAAGTAGACTCAAATAAAGATAAGCAGCAGTCTAAGGTAAAAGAGGACCGAAGAGAAAAAGAAGATTCAGTTGGGCGAGAGGAAAGACCGTCTGCATGGGATAAACCATTGCGAGATGATGGAAAAGGAGATAGACGTTCTGAAAGAAGTCAACCACCATTAAAGAAGAAACGGGAAGAATACAATCAGGAAAAGTCAGACAGAGACAGGAGACAACCATCTTCTAGAGCCCGTGAGTTCGTACGGGGAAGAGGTGGCAAAGTTACCAGGGGAAGCAAACCTGGTACCGCTCCTAGCAGAGGTGGTCGAGGAGGTAATCGTGAGGGTTTTCCCCGTAACTATGATAGACGTGGAGGGGAGAGAACCAGCTACCGAGTTGAGAGGTCTAAAGCATTTGGTGGACAGTGGTCAGATCATGTAGATGAATTGGAGCTGGAGGAAGAAATGCAGAGGAGGAGAGAGAAAGCTGAAGAAGTTGATTATGATGGAGAGGAAGGATCCAGATCACCTGAGGAGTTTGTGGATCAGGCTAACTCTGGCAAAGTCAGGGAACAGAAAGAGAGGAGAGCTAGTCAAGAACAACAGAAACCAAAGCCGTTCAGCTGGGAAAACCGAGCAAAAAATATGGAACTGAAGAAGGAAGACAGTTTAGAAAAGCAGAAGCAATTTGAAGAAGAAAAAAAATTGGATGAGGGTCAAATAAGTAGAAAGCCACCAGCTGATGAGAGGTGGGAATCTAGGAATGGCCGTGGAGGCTTCCAGCCTAGAGGTGAACCTTCAAAGAGAGGAAGAGGAGGTAAAATTTTGTGCTGGGAATTCTGAATTTGAAAGCATTTAAAACTCATTATTAAAAATTGTGTTGCATTATTTGATTTGAAGATGCAATATGCTTACTGTTTTACTCCAATTTTGATTCAGGATCTTCAAGTACAAGAGGACGAGGAAGAGGTTCTATGCGAGAGTCAGGAGAACGAGGAGAAAGAAGAAATTACTCAGCTCCATCAAGAGGTGGAGGATTTGGCCGTCAAGGACAAAGGGAAGGGGGAGAGGTCTCCGAAAAAGGCCCACCCAGGTAATGCCATATACATGTTATTCAGAAAATTTTCCATGTAAATGATGCTTTTGAATTAATTATAAGCTTGTAAGTAAAGTAAAATGTGATTTGGTTTGCATATATTTGTTCATAGGAAAGAAAACAGAAGGCAGGAAAGATATCCCCCACCCCCACGATTTGCCCAGAAACGGGGGGGTTTAAACGAGAGGGGGAGGGGTGCTGAACGTGGTCGTGGCCGCGGCAGAGGTCGTGGTGGTAGTGCCCCTCCCACCACTGCTCTCCCTGTTAAGCGACCACAGCTAAACAAGGAGAACTCGCAGGAATATCCTGAAGGGGAAGAGTGGGAAACTGCCTCAGAGAGCAGTGATGTGTTGGAAAAAAAGGAGTCAAAAAATGACGTGAAAGACAGAGACAAAAGAGATTCAGCAGGGAAGAAGTTCTCTAGTCAGCGGCCTCAGGGTGATAGACAAGGCAGAAAGGGGGGTCAAAACAATGAGTGGAAAGCTAATGGAGAGGTATATCAAGGGAGAGGTGCAGGAAAAGAAAGTGGGTCAAAAAACGGGTCAGGTAGGGTTCATCAGAGGGATGGACCCCGAAAGCCATTTGGTTCAAGTAAAAAAGAACAGAATAGTGTGTACAGAGTGGGAGAAGTAGTACATGATGATCCAAATGCTATCCAATCAGCCATCAGCAATCTCGATCAAAAGTAAGACTCTAATTAATATCAGTTTATCTGAATGTTACAAGTGATTCTGAGATGTTCTAAGTGATTATGAGAACTTTTATTTTAGAAACTTGTATGGCAGGAAAGCAGACCTCAGTGATGTCTCCAAACCAGTAAAAGTGGAGGAGAAAAAAAATGCTCTGGCAAATATAGACATCAACAACTATGCAAGTATGCATATTTGTAAGCTTTTTTCACCCTTAAACTTATATGATTTACTTTTATATTCTACCTTATTTCATTATTTGTGTTTATTAGGTGTGGTTGTTATTGATGAAGTACCAGAGGTTACCAACGATGATCCTGCTTTCCTGTTTGAACAAAATGATGGTTTCCAGGAAGTGACGTCCAAGCGTACTATTAGGAGTAAACAGAAGGCTCAGCAAGAAATCGAGCTCATGAAGCAAAAAGAACAAACCAAAAAATCTGTCTCAAAGGTATCACTTTCTACTCTGTACATAGAATTTTGATAGGCATTAATAAAGAACTTTCTGCCAAATGAGGAAATTATCATTTTTAAACTGATTAGTGATGACAATCTTCATCACCTACCGATCTGATGGCATATGATTTTCCTTTCCTTAGATGTACATACATGTATATATAGATGATAGAAAAATTTTAAATTGGAAAATTATGTATGAGTAACAGTGCAATCAGTTACATGTTTATAATCTATGAGAACAGATGCATAAATTTTTCTCTTTGTCTTCATAGCAGATCGAACCTTAATTTTTTTAAATTTTTTTTTTTCACTTTGACCTAGGATTTGTAGATGTGCATTCATGCAATGAATATGACATTAATATTCAATTTTAGGTTTATTACTTGGATGTACTTTCCTTTCATTTTAAATATCATGATGTAGTTATTTCTCATTAGATATGCTCACAAAGCTTTTCAACATTGCATATTGCCTATTAAAATCATATGGTACTCTTAATGTGAGATGACCATCAAACCACCATCTCTTCCGTCCCTCCCTCTTATTTTTTTTTTAACAGAAGTGCCAAATTATTTTCTTCAGAATGAAACACCAGTATCTGTTGTTATATAACATGGGTAATATTGTGTAACTTGTACATGTATATGGAATTGTGTTATGAGCAAAAGCTGTAGAAATAAAATGCCAAATGAGGAAATCGTAAACTTGGAACTGATTACAGATGACAATATTCATCACCTACCGATCTGATGGCATATAGTTTCTTCAGTAAATTTTGTTCAAGCCCCAACTTCATATGATAACATCATTGTCAAGGGAGAAACATTTTTTTTTGAAGGACAAGCCATCCACCCATGCTTCCAGAAAATCTGGAATGCAAGTTAAATATATGCTAGACAAATGTCGGTGAAGATGATTTTATGAATGTTGATAATGTGACAGGTCTTTCCAATGATATTGTTGAATGAAAATAATACTTCTAATCACATTTGCAGTCCCTGAGTCTCATTTCATTTTGATTTGTAAGTCAGACTTTGCCAACAGATGTGTTTACAGGTAGTGCTTTCAAAGTTATGCTTCAATTTATATATATCTTTCAGAGAATATTATTTTTCTCAATTTAATATGATATGACATCTAAAGGCTTTGTGGAAAAATAAATTATGATAGAATCCTAAATGATAAAGATTTAAAGTACTCTTACTCTTGTGAAGCCAGAGGATGAAAAAACAGTTGGAGCTGCTTTTTTGATGACAATATTCATCACCTACCGAACTGATGGCTCATTTTCTTTTGTTTTATGGAAACTAAACTTTTATTAAGGATACATAACATGAACAAAAATTTGATGCATGGATTGATATATATTTTTTGACTGATTTTGAAGGGAAATGACAAATAATCAATCCCTAAAAAATAAAGAAATCATAAGTTTTTGGTGCTCAGGTATGCAACTTTGTATCATTTTCTATGTTATTCTATACAAAATTTTGCACATATTTTTGACATTGTAACAAAATCTTGCAAAATTTGCCCACTTAAACTTGAAAATATCATTCAGATTACCTTTTTGAATATAAATCTATGAGAAATATTGCTGATTTCTGCAAAAGTTTGTGTTATTTGTCCTTAAGCATTTATGATGGCTCTAAAAAATGTGTATTTTATATTGCAGGTTGTTGTAAAACCCAAAAGTGTACATGTGAAAGTGAGTGTAGAAAAACCAAGATATAAAACCAGCAAACTACCTCCAAGATTGGCCAAGAAAAAAGAAATGATGGAAAAGGAGAGAAAAGAGGCAAAGGGGTTTGAAATGAAGATAGAAAATTGGGACAATGAATTGGCCAATAATATTCCTACTCACTCTGACAACATGGGCATTTCTCGAGATTCTAAAGGTAACATTTTCAGAAGTATTGTGCATTTTCAGGTTTGTGTGTTTTTGTTTATTGAACAGATATACTTAAGTTCTGTACATTGCAGGGATTCCTAACATGAATATGATGCCACAAGTAACTACAGGGCAGATTCCAAATTCAGTGACCATTCAGAATAGCAATATGGGATCATTGGTGACAGCTCCTTTACCTGTGGCCAGTGCATGGGGTTCCAAGCCTCCCATATCTTATGCTGCAGCAACTGGATCTGTGGAGAAACCTGAAAATCATGACAGTGGAGTTGATGTTAGTGACCAACCTAATTCTGCGAGTTCCTCCACGCGAAGCTCCCCAAGTGCAGAAAATAAATTGAAGAATGAGAAGGTGACAAATGTGCCCCACACCCCAAAGTTTTGTACATTTTTAGTTGGATCACCAAAAAAAATGTAGTGAAAAGTTTGCATGGATATTTTTTCAGTTTTGTTTATTTGGTTTTTAAAACCAGAATTAACAACTGAATTCTTCTAATTTGTCAAAAATGTATTGAAGATCTCCTTTAGTGACCCAATACCCCAGAACGAGCTAAGTAAAGATGTCAATTTTTTTCTGCACTTATCCAAATGTCCCAAGAGAAATATTGTATTCTTGCTTAACACTTGTATCGATGTATGTTCATCTCTGCTTGCTTGTTGCATATCTTTTTAAGATAAAAAGTAATATTTCTGTAAACACTTATGAAATTTTATGTCATTTTTTTTTCATTTAGTTTGCATGTTGAAGCTCTTAAATTTGTATTCCATAACTGTTGTTCAATCATGCTTCAAATTTTGACTTGCAATGAAGGATCATTTAAATTTGAACAAAAATGCAACTCTTTCACATATTTAGCTTGCTTATTACTTAGTATGCTGTTAATACATTGTATATAAAGGACAAATATATAGATGCTGATACTGTAATTATCTTGCTATTTAATTGAATATCCTAAATTATTAGGCAATACAACAGGAAGATGATAAACTTGCCCATAATGACAAGTCATTTGGATCTCCAAAACCACAGAGACAACCCAAGGTATGTTATATTGCAAATAAAAAAAATGTGTAAGTGGCTTTTCAGAATAATGAATGAATGGACTTTTTTCAAGGCTTGTAATATTCTGTTTCTACAGATAACTCGAAGTGAGAAGGTTAGTGTAAAGGACACAATGGAGAAATCTGAAGGAATGAAAACAATCAAGAAACCAGAGTCACTGAAAGAGAAATCCAGAACAACAAGCACCTTAGAGAAACCGGAGCCTATCCAGCTCCCTCCCAGCTTCAGTAAAGTAGCAATGGTAAGTGGGGAAAAAAACAGCAATGATATAAACTATTTCAGTTTGTTGGAGCTGTAAGTAAAATTGTTCATATCATGTCTTGATGGGCCAGACTAGAAAATGCAGAATCAACGAGAGTAAACAATTTTTTTTTTCAGGATGAGTCAAATGAGATCAAACTGGACTTTATATACGATGATGATCTTGCTTCTAGCTTTCCTGACAAAGCAGAACAGAAAGCCAGTGTAATAGAGGAGAGTTCTCCTGTCACAGTGTCATTATCGGGGGGAACAAGTAGTGATCACAATGCAGGGCCTGCATCTCCAGCTGCCCAAGATCTGAACTCCAAAATAGCGGCTGTGAAAACATTCTGGGATAGTGATCAGACTGATGTCTTTAATGTGTAAGCAGAGCTCATTATTACAAATACAGAGATGTTTAATATTCACGTAAATTTATATTATTTGTATAAAGTAATGCTAGTATACAATACATGTCAGTCCCATATAGTTAGAATTTTTCTTTATTCATAGGATTGCCAGTAGTGCAGGTTTAGGCAACACAGTTACAACTACTGAAACAGATCTGGCAAATGCATCTTCATTTCACTCATTTAGCTCAGATCCTAACTTGGCTGGTCCTGACCATGGGTCTGGTATTGGTTTAGATTCTGTAGTCATGTCAGCAGATGATGGTAGCAGAAGTGGATCTAAGAATTTATCTCCAAGAGTGCAGGATGCATTATCAACATTCAGCTCCTCTTCTATGGAGGCAACGATGGATAGCAAAAACGCAGAGCAGACCAACGTATGCAAGGTCAATTCAGTGTATCTGTGTTTCTATTATTTGTAAAGGACCAAATAATGACAAATACTGGAAGTCTAACATTGTAAACTATTCTACAGGTCAAACCCCAACAGTTGCAGTCTCCATTGGAGTCAGACAGCTTGTCAAACAGTGCTGGAAGTGGGGGAATGTTGGGAGTTCCAGCTGAAGATCCCACTTCTACTCTACAATCAATGCTAACCTCACCACATCCTTTCCAGAGTTTCCCTTTGGGAACGTCACAGATTTTGCAACAAGAACCAAGAGTAGGCATTGCATATCAAGTATTTTATACAAAAAAAGTGTTTGACATTAGTATTGAAGGTTAGAGATTTGAAGTAAAATGTAAATATCACAATAATGATTTTTATTTAAATATTGTATCTTAGTTGAGCCAGTCAAGCTATGGTTATGGTCTGTCACAACAACCTCCACCAATGGCCCAGCAGTCCCTGTTCATGACTCCCTCTCAGGAATCTTTTTCAATGCCGCAGATGTCAGCTTTCCCTAATAGGAACCAGCCCCAACCTCAACAACAGCAGCAACATGCTCAGTTTGGTCAAACCCCTCCACAGCAAAGCACTATCATGGTGTCTTCAGCCACCTCCTCGCTCATGTCAACCTCCATCAAGCCACCAAATCAAAACACAGCTTATGGTATTTCTTTTTCTTTTCAAATGTACTAAGAAGTTTTTTGAGCTCTAAATTTATCATGCACTTTGGCAAAATTTTCTTATTTGATTGTTGTGATTTATATATCTGGATATACATCAGTTCAAGATTCTTTTTTTTTTTATTGATAAGTATATCTTCTGTCCCTTTTACCCAAACTGCTTCATACATGTACTTCATCTCCAAGTTTCCTTTTAACATGGTTGCAATGACCTTGAACTTAAACCAAGGTTCTTGCCCAAAGGTCAAGAACAAAACAGATTTTTTGGGTAAAAGTGTGTGGTACACATATATCTTCCCTCCTTGTGGCTAAATCTGTTTGCTAAAAAGTTGATGCAGATTTTGCAAAGAGGAGTGAACATACCCCACAGAAAATGATTTTACACTTGACACCACCTGAACAATGTATAAATTTTGCTTTCATTTGTAGGAGCATTACAGAAGAATATGGCCCCAGGATCACTGCAATTTGGACAACAGATGAACAGCACTTCCCTTCAGCCATCACAGATGTCCTTTATTCAGTATGACCCAAGCACACTGTTTGGAAATCTAACACAACCTACTCAGAATGTTAACACTTCACAGATTCTCAACTCCCACGTTGTTCAACAAAGGTACACATGGCATTACTTTGTACTTGGTAGACAATATGACAATAAAGGCAATGTTGGCTACTATACTGGTCAGAGTCTTGCCAGCACACTGTGAAATCATTATCACTAAATACTGAATGGCACATTTCTGTGTGAGATATACAGTACATGTATTCAGAACACATTTTTGATAAGGGTTGTTTCTTTGAAGGCAGCCTTATAGTTTTCAGTATGTTGGTTCCTTTTTACTTGCCTGGATATACAGTGACCCTGAAGCAAAGTCATAGTCAAGAAAAAAATTGGGTCTTTTTTAAAATCTGCATATTTACAGCATTTTCTGCCTTAGAATCATTTTTCGCAAGTCATTCATTGAGTACTATGAGTAAAATGTGTGCAGAGTTAAAACTGAAGTCAAAAGGCAGGTCAAAATATTTTATGTAAGCATGTAGGGTCACTAGGATTAAAATCTGCTCATTTACAGCATTTTCTGCCTTAGAACCATTTTTTGCAAGTCATTGAGTACTATGAGTTAAATGTGTGCAGAGTTAAAACTGAAGTCAAAAGGCAGGTCAAAATATTTTATGTAAGCATGTAGGGTCACTAGGATTAAAATCTGCACATTTACAGCATTTTCTGCCTTAGAACCATTTTTCGCAAGTCATTCTTTGAGTATTATGAGTAAAATGTGTGCAGAATTAAAAAGTTAAAACTTAGTCAAAAGCCAGGTCAAAATATTTTATGTAAGCATGTAGGGTCACTAGGATTAAAATCTGCACATTTACAGCATTTTCTGCCTTAGAACCATTTTTCGCAAGTCATTGAGTACTATGAGTTAAATGTGTGCAGAGTTAAAACCAATTCAAAAGGCAGCTCAGAATATTTTATGTAAGCATGTAGGGGCACTAGGAGGTACATGTATATCCCCCCCCCCCCCCAAAAATATTATCGATATTGGAGAAATATATGTGTAGTGACTTTTTCCAAGTACAAAAGGTTCTTCCTTTACAGATGTATCCTTTACATTTACTTAAAGTGGAGCCCTTTAAGACTGTCACCATCTTGATGCTATCTACTATAAAAAATAGTATGGTTAAAGTTTTCCATCTGTCAGAAAAGGCCAATCCCCAGCCATTATGATTATGGACCAATTAAGGTCATTTAATAGTCCTTTCATTAGGTTTCAGGACAGGTTATATCCAAGATTTGTCATGACTGTTGATTTAGTCCCCATCTTTGACTTCCGTGGAAACTTTTATTCAATGCATGAAGGAACAATAAAATGTTAGAATAGATGCATAAATAGAATTATAAATAAGCATATGGGCAATGTATCTTAGAAACGGTATGATGGCGTTTAGGTATATAATAATTAGGGATGTCAAATCGGTCAATATTTGATAACCGGTTACTCGGACGATTTTCCGATCGAGTACCCGGGTACTCGGAAAAAGCGGTATACATGTAAAAGTTTGTTGATTTTATTGAGACCTGTTTACCCCATCGATGTTTTCGTTTATAATGCATGTACATAAACAACCAGCGAAAATGGTTTTTGGTACTTAATTTATATATCAAACAAACATAAAAGACATGATCAATTATTACCAACAATTACAAATGATTTACAGTTCTTTTTTAGGAAGACAATTTGACCAACGGAAGAGAAGGACGCAACTTTGTAATGATTACACTAGCGAAAGAGATCGCGAGTCGTACATGTATATTATGTACATTTCAAAGTTTTCTCTTGATAACTCTGAAAGTTAATTATGTTGATTTCTCGATATTTACAGCTTCACCCACTATGCATAAATTATCCCACATTTCCAACTGCCGTTGATGCTCTAGCATACCCAACAAACTAGACAGCAATTTCTTAAATATATGGTTGTTTCACCCCCGTATACGCTGATATTTCTATATAATTATGTCTGATTTCGCTACCGTATGCTAATTAATTAATCTAAGGATAATTAATAGGTCATAATTAAAAGATGTTCATTGAAAACAAATAATTAAAGCCATTCAAAAATTAGGGTCATAAGAGGTGAGAACACCTGTGTACGATGTCCAATGATTGGTCACAGTAATTACTGTATACACATGTACAAAGCCAAAGGTGATAGCGGGTATTAACTGGTGTAGGTGACGCTAATTACTGTATAGACATAGACAATAAACATTTAAATCACATTTTTTGATAAATATTTAATAAAAATATGCACTTTGAAATATGAAAAAATATGCATCCGAGTAACCGAGTACCGATTTTAGTATTCGATACTCGGACGTTCGATCGAGTACCCGGTTAACCAGGTACCCGTTGACATCCCTAATAATAATGAAAGTTTCATTAGTTGAAAATTTAAATTATTTTATTTTAGGGTGCAACCACATCAGGCGACATCATTTTATCAACAGTCACAGCAACCCTTACAACAGAGCTTCTTTTCAAACCAGCCTCAATCAAACAGTATCCAGGTACAAAGTGATTCCTTTTTTTACACATACATGTAGATTACAGAGACTTTTAATACTTTCTAAGGAGTATGCTTGAGCTGACATACAGAAACCAAACAAAGAAAATGCAATTAAAAAATAATTTTTTTATGCACAGGTATTTAGAATGAAAGAGTAAGGGTTTGCATGCAATATGATATAGGTTGACATTAACGGTGGTGGATTTGCATGAATGTCACTCCAGAATTAAAGAAATGACAAATAAAAAATCCTATTGAATGATATTTATACATTAGATTTATTATTGGGAGAGAGAAAAAAAGGTTTATTATTGATAAATTGATGTTGATTTGGAAGTGATTGAACTGTAACTGGAAAATTAGGCTAGTATTGCCAGAAATGCCTTTCTACATGATCACATCCCTACCTCAATAAACAGAATTTCTCTAATTTTTGCATAATTTATATGCACTTGAAAACATAGTTGACTGATAAATCTTACATGTATAGGTTTATCACAGAAAAGAGTAGATGGAGGCTTTTGTTTATGGAAGGACACTTAATTCCCTATACTATTCATTATTCTGCTGTTCTGTATGAAACTAATCTTGTGTAAGACAAGTCAATTTTAACAAATCCTAAACATCCCACTGTAGAAAGGCATAGATTATCATATGCATTCCATAGCTTTTAACAATTGCATAAATTTACTTCAGCCTATGGGTAATGGAAATCGCAAAACAGGCGGGGAGCAACTGATGTTTCAAGCATGCATACTATCAGGAGCTCTGCAACAAGCTGCCGCAGCAGGACCTCAGTTTTCCATGCAAACTTTTGGAAATCAGACCAATAACCCAGTCGCCACTGGACTGAATCTTTCCTTGCAACCCTCCAACCCAGCTGCCGCTGTAGCTCAACAAGCTCTGGGCCTTGGGCCTCAGACAAATGTCTCGAAAGTGTCACAGTTCAGTCACCCCCTGCAGCAGCCTAGCCAGACTCCAGTCTCTCCTCAGAGCACACCTGTAAGCCCTCCCTTCACTCTATCCCAAAACAGCACCAGTAATCAAGGCTAATGACACTACATCTGTGTCAACAGCCTGAAAATTACCTCTGCTGTTTATTGCTTTATGGTATAAGCTTGCCAAAATTTTGCTGCTGAATTATGTACATATACTTTACTCACTGTTTGTTAGAGGTCATGGGTTAACTTAGATGTATAGAAATAATGAATACCAGTAGCTGTTTTGTTGAGTTACTGACAAGTATGGGAGGAAATAATTTCCACATCCAAGTATATTTATGCTCTTAATTTGATTGAATATTACAGATGAAGTCTCCGCCACAAAGCACAAACTTTGGAGTAACATCATCTGTACCACAAACACAAGGGGGTTCCAAGTTCTTTGGAACTAATCAGCTACAAAACCGATCTGGAAATCAGAGGTACAACTTCAGTAGTAGTAATGTGCATAACAATATAAATGCACCACCATTTAATCCAAAGATGAACCCAACTTATGGTCAACACATGCAGTCTGGAGGTGAGTTATTCTGAAATTTGCTTGTATTTGAAGATCTACATTGCAGATGTGTATTTAGAAAGTGGTGTTAGCAAATGTGTGATATAAATTTTATATGTCTTTTTCAGGAACAGTTGCTAGACCACAAATGCTGATCAACACAGGTAATTTCCGGCCAACTGTTCAACCAAGCCAAGCAAATTTCCCTAACCCAATTCAGCGACCTGCTGGACAGATGCCGGTCAATGTCAATCCCAGGCCTCCACGCCCTCAGGGCAAACCACCGGGTCCTCCCCCACCCACTCAAGAAAACACCTCAAAAGTCGGGGCAGCATTCAAAGCCCAGCAAGCTAAGGAGAGACAAGGATTGTTAGCTCATGCACAGAGTTTCTTAAATCCACAAAATAAGCCTAGCATCAAAAATGTGCCACCCAAAGGTGACACTGCTGCCCCAGAAAAGAAAGCCTCTCCTACTCCTAATGGTGGGGTAACTGACAGTAAGAATTCTAACCCTACCACTGAAGGATCACAGTCTGGGGAGAAATCCCAGTAAATTATATGGAAGCATTATGTCTGGGCATATTATTGTGTTATATCAAATTTTATTATATTTATACATTTAGTTTTATACTTTACAGGAGTTTAGAGTTGTGCATTGATGTGAATTTGTCCACAATATTTTATGTCAGACATACTGCTGAGGTCTGTCATGTTAATAAGCCATGTTGTTGGTCATCTGTTTGACTCCTGGCTGAATCTGTACAGATGTCATGAATTTGTAAATAGTCATCAATCTGTAGTAAATCAATCAGAATGTTTGAAAGAATGTTTGTACTTTCACAGGTGATTTTACATACCTGGACTCTCTTGTAGTTCTTCCGCAATTCAAATGCTGATTATATAAAGAAACTGAGGAATTTAATGAAACTCAGTGACACTTAAGTTACAGTGAATGGACTGAGTGATTAAGTCTGTGGTAATCTTTTTAATGATTGGTTCATTTTAAATAAGCAAAAATGTGATTTGGTTTTATAGAAGTTTTGTTTTTATTAGCCCTAGTTAACAGAATTGTTACCAAGTGAGCTCCAAGATGAACCTTAAATCTTGTGTCTGTCATTGACATTAAAATTTTAAAAAAGTGACAGCTGATAAGATACAAGAGAAAGTGAAAGAAGATTCTGAGTGCCCCAAGCAGAGGATCAGGAAGGGGAATGTTGTAGGAGAAGATGGAGAGCCATGCCCCAGGTTCTTACTTCTGTATCAGACTCGGGTGCAGGTTATCTGCCCCTAACCTCACCCTTGTCTGAGAACATGACAGTATATATATTAATATACATATATGTATTTAGATGTTGTCCTTCCCTCTCACATGTTCTTTTTTATTAGTTGTTTTCACATATTGTCCAAGGACACTAAGCATGATGAGTTTGTTTTTATCATTGAGTCTGTCTGACGTTGACATGATTAGTATGACGAGAGAGTCTTGACATATTTATAAGTATGTGAGGGATTCATGTTATGTCAGTTGTGAAGACAGTCTTGTGATGATGGGTGTGTTCTTAGTATATTAGCCAAAGACTGCTATTACAATGTTATGTTCAGCACAGAGGGATTTTTGTTGTGGAAAAAAGTTTTATTCATTTTTGACCTTGAAAAATCTCAGCTTATAAACAATGTAGCTCATTGAAATAATAAAGGGCTATGTAAAAGATGTAAAAATTGTCTTGATTTCTTTATTCATTTTGTGTGTTCATGTTGAAAATTTAAATAACCATTAAATGGTTATATCCAAAAAATGCAAATTCTCCAACACATGCAAATTCAAATGTTTATCATCATCAAAATTCTCTGGTTTTAGACTGCTTGAGCAGTATCATCCAATTTAATAATGGGAAAAAAAAGGCATGACAGTGACCATCCTAATTATAATGTTGCATTTAATAATAAAGGTGGAGTTTGTCAATTACTATGTAAGAAGTAGGTCTTGGACTTGTGAGGGAGCACCAAAAGATCTGAATGTACCATGGAGCTAGAGTCAATCTGCTAGATTTAGGAGAATGGTCCCAAGGTCAGTTACAAAGTCTGGGTAATACGTAATCACTCCCAGCATCAAGATGTATGCGTATTTGTCTGGTGTACGTGTATTAAATGCATTATTCATATATTTTATAAACTATGCATAGAATAAGGAAATGTTAGTCACTAGATGCTGATGAAATGCTCTCTCTAATATTTTATATATGTAGCAAGTTGAACGCTCTGTAAGACTCTAAAGTACGATACCGTATATACTTGCCTATAAGTCGTTTGTATTTTTGAACTTGAATGAGAGGGATTGACCCACTAGAATACCAATCTTTTTATAACTCGCTTATAAGTCGGATTAAGAGTTTTGGATCAAAGTTTAACTCCCAAAAAACCAACCCATAGGCGAGTATATTTGGTAATTTGTCGTTTGAGAATAGCAAGGACTGGTTGTGAATATCATTTAGGGAGTATACATTAAGCAGTTTTTCGGTCTGTCATTGCTTGACCAGACCATTCTGTCACTTATAAATCTGTCTACTCTCCTGATTTATCTGTTAATTTTGAGCTCACCTCAACAAAGTTGGGGGAGCTTATGTAATAAAATCGGCATCCCAGGTTAAGGATTTTGGAGCAGTTTTCTTTTCAAGTACTTCTATGGCCTATATTAGTCAGAGATGCATGGAGGATGCTTCTAATGTGTTTCATTGTACCAGTCAAGGTTTCAGATGCTGCAATTTCAGCTAAAGAATGACCAGGTTAATGTTTTTGGAACAGGTTAAAGTTTTTGGAGCAGATGTCATTTCCAAGTAACTATAAGCCCTATATTGACCAACCATGCATGGATGATACATCTAAGGATTCACACTACTGGATTTGCTTCAGATGCTGGATCTGACCTACATTTTCCGGATGAGTAACCAGGTTAAAGTTTTTGGAGCAGATCTCATTTCCAAGTAACTATAAGCCCTATTTGACTAAACTTGCATGGATGATACATCTAAGGATTCACCCTACTGGACTTGCTTCAGATGCTGGATCTGACCTATATTTTCCGGATGAGTAACCAGGTTAAAGTTTTTGGAGCAGATCTCATTTCCAAGTAACTATAAGCTCTGTCTGAACCAAACTTCAAGGGACAAACAATCTCAAACTTGCTTCGGATGCTTGATTTGACTTACATTTTCTGGATGAGTGACTAGTTTTAAGTTTTCAGATAAGTCTATTCCCAAGTAACTGCAAGCCCTATCAGACCAAAATTGCATAAATGTTGCATCTAGGGATGCACACTCCAAGATTATTAGTTTAGTGTGGGACTTTGCCTTACTTAAGGACATACGCAACGTACCTTACCTACTGATAAATTTTCAAGATATTCTTACTTTAAGATTATAGTGCCATCAGATGTTCATAGACAAAAAATCAGCATGCATTACCAGGGGTTATGAAAAGATATCAATTGATTAAAATTCTTGTATAATTCAAAGAAAAATATACAAAAATTAATAGCCATATATTCTAGATGTTTTGTTTATCCAAACTTGTTTTAGAAGAAGTGTACAACAGCATATATAGACATTAAAATGTAGCACACAGTTCCTTTAAGAATTGGAACTCTTCGACTCCAGGGAAAAAGTCAATAAAGTTCAAACTACGTTGCGTTTGTCCTTAAAGACAACATTCGTTGAGGTGAGTTCTGTAATCTCTGATTACCTATGTTTATGATTTCCGCTACATATGATCTATGATTTAAAAGCAAAATGTAATTTCTGAATTTTAACCATTTTAAAATTCTAAAACTATTACTTATGGTACTAAATCTTCCAACAATTTTCAATTATTAAAAAATTACAATAAGATTCCCCCAAAATTCGTCATTTTCTATAATCAGGATCATTTTATACAGGAGTGTCATGCACTAGTACAATGAAAATGTTGTTTTAAGTGAACAAACTCGCACTTTCTGCATCAGTGGAAGGAAATCTTTATAAAAGCCAAATCTTTACTTCGATAACTATGATAACATTCATTTGGGGTAGGCAGGTCTACACTTAGGCAATGCTTTTCTGCTTTGCACATAGAGAGTGTATATGGTATGAAATGACCTCCAACTATGGTTAGCATAGGATTATTATTACAGTCAAAACTTTTTTTATACCCTCCCCCCCCCCTCCCCAGTGCAAATGAAGTTGCTTGGTATAGTGATACAAAGATTGCTCGTGACCCAAGGGTGTGTCCCAAGGCATGTTCAAGGTCACTGGCAAAAAAATATAAATTCTTGTCAGGGCTATAACATTGTGTATGATTGAGAATTATTGAAAGCAAATACTTGGTACAGAGATTGATTATGACCAGAGGATGTGTCCTGACCTTGACCAAAGGTCATTCCGGCAAGTTCCAGGATGCTGGTAAAAAGTGTAAAATTCATGTCAGGTCTATAAGTTTCTAATGGAGAAACATTGGATGTCCATCTGTCACTGAAAGATTACTTGTTAACAGAGGAAATGTCGGTTTTAAACGAGGTTACTTGATCCTGTCTTAATTTGCTGTCATTTGAGGCCTCAAGATTTTTTTTCTACACAAAAGATATCGGTGAAGCATTTTGAAAAATTTTATCAGACTTATGGAAATCTTCAATGTATACAAGGATGTGTAATGTTAGATTGAGCTGCGTCAATGTTTGTTTACTTCCAGATTTGAATTATAAATCTAAAACAGAGTCAATTTTATTGACTGGGTTCAAGGCCAACATGCATTTTGGCGGACCCTAATCTGAAATATCTGTCGTTTCCAGGTGATTTTCACAATTTGGATGTTTAGTTGGAGACGACAAAATGCAATTTGCCCAAAAACACAGTCAAATGTTTTATTATCCCTTTTTAGCTCTTCTGAGCCAAAGGCTCAAAGAGCTAATGCTATGGCCATTTGTGCGGTGTGCGTAAACTTTTTAGAATATGGGCCATAACTCAAGAACCCCTTGGCCAATTATTGTCAAATTTGTCACAGGGTATCCTTGGCCCAAGGGCTCCCTTTTGTACTAAAACTGGGGTTGTGACCCTTTAACAAGGGGAGATAATTAGGAAAATAGAAACAAAAGTACTGGTTGCTAAAAAATCTTCTTCTCTAGAACCACTGGGCAGATTATCACCAAAATTACACAATAGGATGAGGATATGTTGTAGATTAAAATTTTCACGGGGATTTACCCTGGGGCAAAGGGCGTGGTCTCAAGGTCACTTCAAAGTTGACCAAAAATTACATTTTATTTAAATGTTGATATTTTGCTTACTATAAGGACTAGGATCATCAAATCTTGTCAGTTGGTGCATCTAAGGACCTCATATCATGTTGACTCAAAAGTAGGTCACGGTGACCTACTTTTTAAATTTTGCGGCCATTCTTTTTCAAAATTATTTAGAGGCATATTTTGAACAATTTAAGGCCTATGATCATCAAACTTTGTCAGTTGATGCATCTTGGGTCCTCAAAGTACGTTAACTAAAAAGTAGGTCACCTTGACCTACTTTTTGAATTTTATGGCTAATCTTTTTCAAAACAATTAAGGTCATTAATTCGAATACGGGGAGGCTTAGAATCATTAAATCTTGTAAGATGATGCATCTTGGGGCCATAAAACATATTTATTAAAAAGAAGGTCACAGTGACCTACTTTTTGAACTTTGCAGGCATTCGATTTCAAAGCGTTTTAGAGGCATAATTTGGACATTTTAAGTCCTATGATCATAAAACTTTGTAAGTTGATGCATCTTGGGTTCTCAAAAAAGGTCAACTGAAAAGTAGGTCACCGTGACCTACTTTTCAATTTATATGACTATAATTAAATATTTCAGGTACTAATTGGCTTAGAATCATCAAACTTTGTCAGTTGATGCATCTTGGGTCTTCGGAGTAGGTCGACTAAAAAGTAGGTCACAGTGACCTACTTTTGAAAATTTATGGCGTTAATTAAATATTTCGGGTACTAATTGGCTTAGAATCATCAAACTTTGTCAGTTGATGCATCTTGGGTCTTCGGAGTAGGTCGACTAAAAAGTAGGTCACCGTGATCTACTTTTGGAAAATTTATGGCTTTAATAAAATATTTCGGGTACTAATTGGCTTAGAATCATAAAACTTTGTCAGTTTATGCGTCATGGGTCCTCGGAGAACAACAACTGAAAAGTAGGTCACGGTGACCTACTTTTGAAATTTTATGGCTGTATTTAATATTTTCAGGAATTATTTGGCTTAGAATCGTCAAAATTTGTCAGTTGATGCATCTTTGGTCCTCGGAGTAGGTTGACTGAAAAGTAGGTCACGGTGACCTACTTTTGAAAATTTATGGCTTTAATTAAATATTACAGGTACTAATTGGCTTAGAATCATCAAACTTTGTCAGTTGATGCATCTTGGGTCCTTGGAGTAAAACAATTGAAAAATAGGTCACTTTGACCTACTTATAAAATTTTATGGTTATAATTTTAAAAAATATTTTAGGTATTAATTGGCTTAGAATCATCAAACTTAGTTGATGGGTCCTCAGAGAATGACAAGTGATAAGTAGGTCACCATGACCAACTCTCAGGTACTAATTGGCTTAGAATCATCTTGGGTTCTCAGAGTGTGAATTGGAATTTCAAGGGTTTATCTAAATATACAGGATACTTCGAGGCTTCAAATAGAAGTGATAGGTTGTACAGTTTATCAGAAGAGCGATTCAAGGCCCATGGGCCTCTTGTATTTTTTCAACATAAATGTATGTGTTGGCTTCAAAGATGAAAATTTCCTTTTTCCTGCACTGTGGTAAAATTTTATGTGGTTTTAATGTTTTTTTTATCATATGCAGAATGAGTTCTGCTGGCAATGCATATGTGAAGCAGATGAAATATGTTTGTGACCATTAAACCAGCTGAAATTTAAGTTAAGAACTTAAGAATTATAATGTTATTTATTTGCATTTCTTATCCTGTTGTGGTTTGGGCTACATGAACCGTGGATATCAACCTGGATAGCACAGTGGGTAAAGCATCTAACATGTAGGGATACTGTTTTGAATTCCTGGTTCAGCCATAAATTTTATCCGTTATTTCCGATCATGACAAGGAGCACACGGCGGGTGTAACCGGTTGGCAGGGGATGCTCATCCCACCTCTGATGTCTTAGAGGTCCGTGTTTGCTCTGCTTCTATTTTGTAATGTTTAATGGACTTTTGAGCTCAAATACAGTTTGTTATCTCCACATATTTCATCATTTGCCTTTATTTTGTGCTTTTGACCATCCCTGGACTTGTAGATGAAAGTGCTGCCAGGGGTAAAGAATCTGGGTTGTGTGCCTTAAGGGTGTGGACAATTTAAAAAGAGATATGTGTAGTGGCTTGGGCAATACGGTCCATGGATGATTCAGGGTAAGATCACCAGACTAATAATGTAAGGATCCAAGGTTCAATTCCTAATCAACCCATAAATTTTCTCCTTTCCCGTTACACTACACAGTGTGTCTATAAAAAAGGGATGTGCAGCAACTTTCCTTTATAGTTTTTATGGACACCCCTGGACATGGACATAAGCATGTTAAACCTTCGTATTGCAATTACTGCTTAGTGTAAAAACCAAATCCAACAAATGCATTTGATATTGATCAAAATCTTTATTTTAGACATCTACAAACAAAACAGCACTATGCATGAGAAGTAACTTGGAAAATATCTTGGGAAGATGCCCTTACTGGCATATAACCACAAGGGTCAAGGTCAAGAGGGATAAAATTGACAACCAGTCTGCCATTTATTGTGCTCCTGATATGTATAATTAAAATGACAGCTTAGTTAGTTTCATTGTTTGTGTTTTTATGTAAAATAAACAAACCTGCATTATCTAATGGAAAGCAAAAAAAAAAAAAAAAAGAAAGAAAAAAGACACATTAAAAAATATTATCAAAATTGAAATTTTGCTTTTTACATTACAAAAAGCATGTACAGGGGACTAGATTCTGTTTGACAATTTTCAGTTTCCATGTTGGGGAAGACTTTAAGTTTCTCTTCATTAGAATGCACTTTTTAAAACAATCATTGATTCCATGTAAAAATCTTTAGTAAATACATGTATGTCATGATCTCATGTTACAAAATAGGCAAAAGAACGAGCTACAATGTATTACTGATTTACTTGTATGTGTAGCTACCAATATCTGCTGGGGAAAAAGGTTCCGAAAGGCACTTCAATTGTATTTTGAAACCATGTTTGCAACACTGTCAAATTAAATGTTAATAACACAAGAAAAAGGGAGTTAACAATACTTGTTGATCTATGAAGAATTACAGAACAATTTATTCTACATGAAAAAGTACTTTTATACATGGGACATGTGTACAGATTTCCTTGTTCACCATCTCTTCAAACATTTATTTATAAATACTGATATATATTCAAATACACATATTTAGTAGGAACTATTCCGATGGTAAAAAGAGTGACACTTGTGTAAGGTGCTATGATATGAAAGCTGAGTGACTACATGTAAATTGTAAGTAGTACAACACCTAGAGAGGAGAGTATATTCACAAAAACATGACAAAAAATTACAAAAGTATAGCTAACAATGCCAGAACTGTATAGCCAGCAGTAGCTTTCTTACTATCTTCCCAGAATACAGTAAAATTCACAATTCAGGTAGTTATCAAACACCTTGCACTGATATACCGTAAACATTCAGATTCTTAACATAAAAAAATACTCTACAAGAATTAAATCAAGTTTTTAAAGATTAAGATGATATCTATTATAAACCTAGCTTTTAAATTAATATTAAACCAAAAATGAAAATTAAAATACATGTACTGGCATTTCCATGATCAGAATAAAAGAAAACAAACTGCTTGTACAGATACACTCAAAGGTGAATTACTGCCTCCATTCTTATGTAATTTACCATACATCATTAAGAATCAAGTGATGATGTGTTTGAAGGAGAAAAAAAAATGTGCAAGTTAATTTTAAGCAGCATACTAAAGATTTACACTTATTTCTCAAAGGGAAGAAAAAAGCATGGATGGAATTAGGCCAATTTGGAATCAGCAGTTCATTTCTATGACATTATAAATCAAGGTACAATATCGTGGTCTAGATTTGAATTGTCTTGTAGCACCTTCAGATCTGATGGAGAATTCATATGGATTTCACTGTGCACATTTCTTCTTTAATCTGTTCTAAGGGATGGGATCTAATTCATAGTACAAGTTATTAAACAAGACTGTTTTATAATACATGTAATAATACTTTAGCACATCTCAAATGTCTGTTAAAATCTTTCACTTAATGATTAAAAAAATAAAACTTTTACAATACGAATATAAAACAAAATAATCATACGTAGCATTTACTTTGGCATCAATGAGACTTTTCTGAGCATGTGTGAACACATAAAATGAAGACACAAAATGTTGGATATTTTTTTTTTTAAGATCAGCACTGACATACATGATACTCCATGATTCTCTGTTTATATCAACAGACAAACTTTGCCATGTCTCTCAGGCAAAAATATAACCCAGGTAATCAATTCTCTACCAAATTATACATAATTATCATTCAAATTAAAAAAAAAACTCGACTGATTCAATAAAAATTTGGTAATCCATGATTTGGTCCCTGTGACAGTCATGCATTTTTTCAAAATAAAAGGTTTTAAGGCACCTCTTAAATAACTGTTTACTTAATGACCTACACAACAGAAGAAAGGGAGCTCGACTAAGACTACAAAATCTACAACACTGCAAACATAGTTATAACTTCTGTAAAAAGACAAAAACCCTTTACTAATAGCTTTTAAATGACGATGTACATGTAAATCATACACAGAATCATAAAGTTTTCTTAAACACAGTACAGGTACTTATCCATTTCATTCATTAGAGCTGTGAGATTAGATGGAAAGTGAAACTGTTTAAGTGAATGTAAGCACCATTTTTTCCTATGAATGAATAATTTGTCTGGAGATTAATAAAAACAGTAAATGATTAAAAAAAAGTTAATGTAATTTACATGTATATGTTCTCTAGAGCACTTACAATAAATACAGTAGATGACATAGATTATTACTTTTTTGTAAAATGTGATTTAGTTTCATTTGAAAACCTATTAGTGGCTCGGAAATGGTTTTCTTTTTCACATTTCTCTCACTTCTGCCTCCTTCCATCTCAAGTTAAAATCCTTAAGTAACATAAAGAGATGCTGATATACCTCAATGTCTTCAGCAATCTGAATAAATATATCACAAAACATTTCTGGGACTGTGTTAGCCGTCTTTGTGTGTGACTTGTAGTCTGGTTTGTTCTCCATGATCAACAAGGAACCATCCCAAGGAATGCTGCCATGGTTAATTAAATATTGTGTCACCGTACAAAGGGATTTCCTTCTTTGTCAAACTGAAGCTGTAGACCTGTGCCTAGAAAAGGAAACATATCAAAATACTAACTATACCTACTCTTTTTTTTTTTTTAAATAATAATAACCACCATCTATATTGATTTAATCTACATCCTCTTTATCAACAAAATAAATAAAATGCTTTGTGAAATAAAATTCATTTCTAAATTTAAAAATATGTATTTGAACTTTAGTATCTTGAACACTGATATGTTGAATAGAAAGAACATGTGAAATACAAGAAACGTGTTTACGCTGAAAACAGAGGGAACGTCAAATACTACACTATGCATAAACATATACAGATATGTGGAGGTGTGTCAGCAGTGCTCATTTTATCATCAATTATGATCTCTAGAAAGCTTGGATATCTTGCAGCTTTTCAATATCCCCTTAAAGTTCAAGATAATGAGGTTCAATTAATAAATTGTGATCTTTGTTGAGAACTCTTACTCTGCTGGTTTTTGGTGCTGAGTTCTGTTGAACTCATGAACTCTTTAAACAAGTCATCCACCACCTCTCCAGCATTCACCCGTGTTTGATCCACCCGTTTACCCTTCTCCAACTCTTCCAGTTTCTGTAAAGTTAGGAATCACAATATTACCTCCCTTTGGCTTCTTCTTGAATTCACACAGCAAGCTCCAATTACAACACTATTGTACATATTTGATGTGCTCATACATGTATATAAAACACAAACTTTACAAGAATAGTAGTACATTAGCACTTTATTCTCAATTTCTTCAATTTAAAAAGTGAATATTTAATTTTTTTACTGAGTAATTTATACTGAAGTGTACTGAACTGTACCTCAAAAAGAGTTTAAAGTTAGAGACAAGAATCTTAAAGTACTAGAATATTTTTTTTATGGGTTAAGGTCTGACAACATGTTGCTCGAATATCTGTTTTGTTTCCCTTCATAATATGCTAAGAATTCATCGCAGTTATCATTGTCATGTGATTTTTAAACTGTTTTCAAAATGTCTAAGGAGATAAAGACAACAAAAAATTGCATTATTGGCAATGCTAGTGATTTTCAATAGGATTATATAGCAAATAGCATCTTCTGGAATCTTACACAAATGCCTGGTAAGGTATCTTAATTTTTTGTGAGGAAACTTGTTAAAGTAGCAATACTTCAATTTGTGGAAAAAATTATATATTATTGAGGAACATGTCACCTGACCTTAAATGAATCTGAATAAATAAATATGGAATCTATCTTGTTATTTGGAGAAACTTAGTCATCAAATGTGCAAAAATTGCCTGTAATCTATCTTTTTTTACATAAACAATCTTCATGAAAATTCTTAATTGTAAGTGTTTCTAAAAAAGGGATTAACATCCCATGTGTTCAATAACATTTTTATTAAAAGGATGACAGCTATATTGAATATGAGAGCTGTTATCCTTTGTAATGAGATTTTGTCGGGTAACTAGAGACTGTCAGCTGTAGGGTAACTAGAGACTGTCAGCTGTAGGGTAACTAGAGACTGTCAGCTGTAGGGTAACTAGAGACTGTCAGCTGTACGACGTACCTTTCTCCTGTCACCTTTTGTGAGATCATTGATTAAAGCTGAGCCGGCGCTAGAGCTCCTACAAAAAAAAAACAAAAACGTCAAGCTTCATCAGTAATACAGCTACTTAAAGAAACATATCCTGACATTTATACTTTACCAAGATCAATAAAAACAAATCAATATATCAGATTTAATTGCTTTTTCCTTTCCTTGTTATCATGATATTGGACAATGAAAACCATTTTAGTTTACACAAATTACGGCTCTCTAAAGCACATTTAAATCGAGAGAATACATAGTTTGTAGCCATATCCTACTTTTTATATATAGCTGTATTGTGTTAGCATTATTATAAAATTGATCCCTGTTGTAACATAAAAAATGAATTCACAGAAAGGTTCATTTTTCAAATAAATCATAACCTTTATCAATCTTACATTTAACACTGATAACATATTCAAAATTCTTTTCTAAAGATTAAATTTAAGCTGATTTAATAACCATACAGGTTGAATATGTCACAGAGAATTTAAATTATCTTGTCATTCATGATTTTAAAAGTTTGCTGAATTGACAAGAAAATCAGTTGTGTAATTCTAAGGCAGAAATTTAATCCTTGATACCTCACAGCTTTTAAATTTCCAGAAATATTAAACTATATATATTCTATAAATTGTAAAGTATATTGAATATTATACATTCTTTCACTTCATTCTCAGCTAAAATTTATTTCAATAAAAGTATAAATAAATTCATCTTTGTACTATGCATAAAATGTATCAGTTCAAAAATACTCTGAAGAATTTCTGAAAACTTATGAAAGACCAGTGAATTTCTAATACATATTTCATCCCCACTTTTTTGTTTTTTAAGAAAATTATGTTTATTGGGAAAATTGAAAAAAATTTACATGGAGAAACATTATGTATTCAACTGCAAAACCAAGACCAAAATAAAGTTTTTCGAATCTATTTGCAGTGTAAATTTAATGCTGTCCATATGTTTCTTTAACCCTTCAGAACACAGGACTAGGTATCTGTATAGGACTGGTAAATCAATGACTGTGGTGTAGCTATAGGACAGGTAAATCACTGACTGTGGTGTAGCTATAGGACTGGTAAATCACTGACTGTGGTGTAGCTATAGGACTGGTAAATCAATGACTGAGCTGTAGCTATAGGACTGGTAAATCAATGACTGAGGTGTAGCTATAGGACTGGTAAATCAATGACTGTGGTGTAGCTATAGGACTGGTAAATCAATGACTGTGGTGTAGCTATAGGACAGGTAAATCAATGACTGTGGTGTAGCTATAGGACAGGTAAATCAATGACTGTGGTGTAGCTGTAGGACTGGTAAATCACTGACTGTGGTGTAGCTATAGGATTGGTAAATCACTGACTGTGGTGTAGCTGTAGGACTGGTAAATCAATGACTGTGGTGTAGCTATAGGACTGGTAAATCACTGACTGTGGTGTAGCTGTAGGACTGGTGAATCACTGACTGTGGTGTAGCTGTAGGACTGGTAAATCAATGACTGTGGTGTACTATAGGACTGGAAAATCAATGACTGTGGTGTAGCTATAGGACTGGAAAATCACTGACTGTGGTGTAGCTATAGGACAGGTAAATCAATGACTGTGGTGTAGCTATAGGACAGGTAAATCAGTGACTGTGGTGTAGCTATAGGACTGGTAAATCAATGACTGTGGTGTAGCTGTAGGACTGGTAAATCACTGACTGTTGTGTAGCTATAGGACTGGTAAATCACTGACTGTGGTGTAGCTATAGGACAGGTAAATCAATGACTGTGGTGTAGCTATAGGACTGGTAAATCACTGACTGTGGTGTAGCTATAGGACTGGTAAATCACTGACTGTGGTGTAGCTGTAGGACTGGTGAATCAATGACTGTGGTGTAGCTGTAGGACTGGTAAATCAATGACTGTGGTGTACTATAGGACTGGAAAATCAATGACTGTGGTGTAGCTATAGGACTGGTAAATCACTGACTGTGGTGTAGCTATAGGACTGGTAAATCACTGACTGTGGTGTAGCTATAGGACAGGTAAATCAATGACTGTGGTGTAGCTATTGGACTGGTAAATCAATGACTGTGGTGTAGCTATAGGACTGGTAAATCAATGACTGTGTTGTAGCTATAGGACAGGTAAATCAATGACTGTGGTGTAGCTATAGGACAGGTAAATCAATGACTGTGGTGTAGCTATAGGACAGGTAAATCAATGACTGAGGTGTAGCTATAGGACTGGTAAATCAATGACTGTGGTGTAGCTATAGGACAGGTAAATCAATGACTGTGGTGTAGCTATAGGACAGGTAAATCAATGACTGTGGTGTAGCTATAGGACTGGTAAATCAATGACTGTGGTGTAGCTATAGGACAGGTAAATCAATAACTGTGGTGTAGCTGTAAGACTGGTAAATCAATGACTGTGGTGTTGCTGTGGTGTAGCTGCTGTTTGTTTACCTTGTGTGAGTAGCGTAAGGATTCTTCTCGCTCCCTACACTAGACTGCCGACTATGGCCAAGGGAGGCATACCCTGTAGATCCTCGTGAGTGCTGACTGGTATAGCTGTCATTTCTCTGATGATTCTTCAATCCTTCACTGTCGGGATTCTGGGGGTGCATATCTACTTCAGGAGAATCTGAGGGGATAAAATGTACAATCAGTTATGGAATATTTGTCAAATTAAAAAAAAACCTTTGGTTTCATTTAAGTAAGCTTCTTTATAATAATACAAGTCTATCTTCATACTCATACTATACTCATCAAGCTTTTGGTTTCAATACAAGAACTACTTGATTAATGATTATCTGATGCAATATAACCGATTACTACCAGAACAATATTTGTAAGTTTGAGTTAATGCTTCTGTACCTGTTATGATATTTGGACGGTTCTTACGAGGTTGAATACCATACCTGATATGATGTTTGGACGGTCCTTGCGAGGTAGACTACCATACCTGTTATGATATTTGGACGGTTCTTACGAGGTTGAATACCATACCTGATATGATGTTTGGACAGTCCTAGCATGGTAGAATACCATACCTGTTATGATATTTGGACGGTCCTTGCGAGGTAGACTACCACACCCACTACTGGCACTGTTAGAGGCTAGACTGCCCTCACTACATTCCTCTATACGAACGGCTGGCTGGTCTATATCATCATACCACTTAGTGGTGTGACGTGGGCTGAATTAAAAAAAAACAAAAAACTATTCCATCAATGCTGTCTTCCCCATCTTCATTAATCTTTATTTTCAAATGTCTACCTTTGTATTTTGAGTCAATGTGTGACCATTGACAGGTTATCTTAGAAAAAGTTCAAAACAGAGACACTTCATGGGAAGTTTAAGTCCCAAAATAGGTTCTCCTTCAATATTGATTCATTTTATTTTATTTTAGTTAAATTACTTTCCTTAAGTAAACTACAGAGTGATTGATAAATCACTTTAAGAGTACAAAGCTGAGCAGATAGTCCTAAGGAAATTGATTTAATCTAAGAGAAAAAAAATAAATGACACATCGATGTAAGGAAAGTTTTGTAGTTTAAACAAATATTGAAGGAATTCATTTGTTCTTTGAAATCCCTTTAACATTTGATACTTAGATTCTCTAGTATCTAAACCTATGTTATCCAGCCCTAAAATAATATTTAGTCTCCATATTACATAATATGTACAAGTATGCAAGTCTAATGTAAGAAACACAGGAATGCTCTTAAAAGTGTGAAATGATTCCATAGACCCTAGTATAGCTTCTATTGAAAAACAATTTATAACATACAGTGTAATGACATTGTTGGTTAAATAGGAGGACCAGGTAAATAATGTACGGTTTTCATTTTGAGGGAGTGTTTAACAAAAAAATTTAAGAAATTAATCCACAAAATATGAATATCTAATATAAATACATGACTCATTCTAAAGTAGTGTGCTTACACTTTAAAAACTGGGTCACCAGAGATCAAGGTCATCTCCAAGGTGAGTTCAATGGTGGAGTTGTCTTGCCGATGCTTGGAGTCATAACCTTCCAACAGGAATTTCCTGGTCTGGTGTCCAGATCCAGCAAACTCGGACAGATTAATGTCCACAAAGCCCAGCTTCTGATATGCCTTCCCTCCTTTCTGATCCTGTAATGAATAATGTGTATAATTACTAATTTATACATGGGTAAAGATAATCTAAAAACTGCTTTCAACAACACAAAATCATGATTCATTTGAGACTATAAACTATGAAAAAAACAATTACATGTGTATTAACTTAAAACAATTCATAATTCTTTCAGAGAAATGTGATTAAGTAGTAACTTTGAAATCTTCGTGTGTATTACACTGTAAATTATTGTATCTAATCAATAAGTACTAAAAAGTTTTCAGATGTTAAATCTTATACATGTAGATTCTATTTATTTTACAAGCACAGCTGTTCTGAGAGCTAGTAAATACGCCTCCCCAACACTTGTAATAATTTCTCTGTATCTGATTTCAGCTGGGTGCTAGTCTCTTGTCAAGATTTACTGACAAGGACAGACATTGCTGTTGTAAATTCAGTTGTAGTCTGAATTCTGTCAATTACATACCATACGCACAGAGACTCTGCACACACAGGGGTCCAGAAAGCCTGTGCTGGCATTGGCTGTTACTTTACATTGGAAATTGTACGAAGTCCTCCACGATACACTGTGGTTCTTTATTTCTTCCCTACAAAGTAATAAAAACATCTAGGTCAGTATGTGTAGAAGTACACCTTTAATGGTGGCTGGCATTGACAGATTTCCTATTAATAACTGAACTCCTTTTCCTATTGATGATAACCATGTATCTTAGATTGCCTCATCAACTTAGAGTCAAAGATGAATGAAAATGCTTCTATCCTATCAATTCATAGAGCTAGACTTGAAAAACCTATTATATCTAAAAAGTCTTAGGAAGTTAGCACTGAAGAAACATATGCAGCTGATCATTAGCGGGAGGAAGAATAAAGACAGAACTGGTGAAGACCCCAGGTCTGCACTGATCTACCACCCTATAACTGGTACAGAGAAGAGTACTTTACAACCTTAGGAAACCTGATAACCGCTGCACCAGAACCTGAGGCAGGATTCTGAGTAGAGTGTAATTGTATCTGGTCAGATTATGGCACATTCCGCATACATGTATTATCAAGTACAGTTTATATAATTACAGGGATATCATAGATCCTGTTACAAAGTATACTTCTTGAATAATTATATATTCCTCATTCAATAGTGCATAACTGACATTTTGTGAGTACTTTTAGTCTTAGACAGATTTAACAGTAGATACATTGCAGATTCATACTGGCTTATTTTGACACTGATAACCAAGTTCATAAGAGACTGTCAGTGCAGAGTAACACATTATAATGAAACTCAGAAGACTGTACTGCCATGTTGATGAATTATTTGATGCTATAAACAGAATCATGACCACCCTGAAGCAAACCCTTAATCATGACCTAAAACTTTCTAATCTCATCTGTATTATGTAACAGGCAGAGGTGATGAAAGAAACTTCACTTGATCTACAACAGAGTGTAGATCATTACCCAAAGGCAGTAAATGTTTATGGTAAAAAAAAATAATGAAGAAATAAAGTTATACACAAATAAATATACAGAAAAGCTGGTAGAGTTAATTAATTAAAACTTTATCTGTAGAAATTTTTTTTTCTTTTCTGTGTCAAATATTGAACACTTATGTAAGATCTTACTTAAGACAATATAAACTTCTCTGAGGTAATGGAATGAACAATATAAAATGGTAGATCTGCCGGTAAACCTAGGATAATGATACATGTAAATGAATTCTGGTACAAACAATACCACATAAGATACTGAAATGATTAAATAAGTTACTTTAATGGTACTGTATTGTACATATAAGATGAGTCAGATATTTTCTAGTTTTTTTTCTGCATGGTTAGGGAATATACATCATATATACAAGGTGAGAATAGTTCCAGTAACATCAAACTATCATCATGGCTGTCCTTATACCAAAGGAGTACTCCAGAACTTTAAGCAAAGCTCCCTCTAAATAACATTAGAAAATATAAAATATACCCTATTTTTTATTATAAAAGGGCATTTAATTGTTGGTACAGTATAACAAACAACAATACAGAAATTAGAGAGGAGAACTGCCCCCACTCCACCCCCCACCCCCAAATGAATTTGGAATGTAGTGAATTTCTACAAACAGTTTTGGTTAAGGTTCAGTGTTGCACTCAGCCATGTAATCAACTTTCCAATCCAATTATAGAAAATTAACCATGACATACTGCAACAGAATAGGGAGGTGGGAATTGAGAGAGTGCTAGGCTGTATCCTAATCAATAGCACTGCTCTGTTGGGACTATACTAGTATGATATAGTAAACAATCAAGTCTAACTTTACTGGGGCTTTATAGAACTCTTCCTGAACTGTTAATTCTAATCCTAATCCTTACAAATGGCCTTGAGTTTTCACAGAACATTTATTTTAGCCTCTGCCAAAAACCGAGTCGATAGCAGAAAAAAAGCTGATCACTTTAACACAAAATCTGTCTAGCACAAGACTTATATTTGTTTCTCAAAGATAAATTTTGTTTGTTTTTTCTGATAGGTAAGAAACCTGTATTTAGATACAAGGTGAGAAAATAAGAATTGAGTTTCTCCCCTATTTTTTTTTTACTCATTTGCAGTGCAATTCACTCACAATTAAGTCGTTGTATGACTGTAGGAGAAAACTTTGAAGATGGAATTTGCTGAACAAACTAATTTACCTCCGACTAAGCAACTCCCTTTCCCTATAGTTACAAACATTTGGCTATATACTTGGTGAGGGGAAATGCTATATACGAACAATATTATCACAAGTTCTTTTAAGACTTTTTACACAGTTGTCTGCACATATTAACAACTATCTTAAATCTAACAGTTTGTGTTGATAAAAGATTAAGTTTAAGAAAACAGCCCTTTATTCCAAGAATCAGTCTTGGTATTTAATATAAGAGATCACTAACAACGGCTTTTTTGTGTGGGTGTCATATATTTTTAGGAAATTATATGTTTCTATTCATTTACAATCAGTTCATTCAAAATATAGTATGTTCTATACCTATGATTTATATTGCTCTAAGTGACTCTCAATGTTTTATTTTGCAAAATAATAATACTTAATACAAATGTCATGAGAAAATAAAATAAAACAAGGGTTGGATTATATATCCTCAAGTCCCATTCAGCCTTTCAGGAAAGGACATAAAAAGTTTTTAGATCTTTTTGCCATTCCCAATCTGTTAAATTAAATGTGTCCATATTAATGCCGTAGGATTTGTGTTTTCCTCCACACTAAGAAGCTGAAACAAAACCAGTGTCTTGCAAAAAATCTTGCAATTTGAAGATCATACGTTGGAATGAGAGTGACTTAGAAAGAGAGAACTTATCAATTTGTAGCTTTATGTATTACAAAAACATATAACACACCTAATATTTACAGATCATACATGTATATAGGGTGTATATATTTTTTTTCTTTACAAAAGTCTGTTACAATCATTATCAGACAATCATGCTAGAATGTGATACATACACTCACAAGGAAAATTATCACTCAATTCATCAGTCTGCAGCAAAACATAAGAAAATGGTTGCCAACGTCAGAGATTAGGCCATTCCAAGTTTTTTCTATGTTTAGCGTCCGCGTGCGCCTTGGTTTTTGACACCACATATCACAAAAAACAAAGTCATGAGTCCTCAAATTGAATATTCTGGTCAAAATCACTGAATTCTGTCAATTTCTCAAAATATTTGTCTACAATATGTCAAATTAGGAATATTGTAAGCATTGAATACCTTGATTTTGCTGAAGAATAGGTTTTTTCTGCGAGAAAAATAGAATAATGAAATCAAATCTTTGAGCGACGTTATTTTTATGACTATAAAGTCTGTGTTTTATTTTTAAAATTTTGGTTTGTGTGTTTTTTGCGAATAGGTAGATAGGTTTTTGAAAGATGGGTGAACGCTAAACAGAGAAAAAACTTGGAATGGCCTTAGGGCAGATTCTATGTAAGTCAAAATCAGTTCTAAAAGAGTTAGTACATGTAATAACTAACCTCTCCCCCCCCCCCCCCCCAAATACACACACAGTTTTACTCAGAATACTGTCTGTAAAACCTTTAATGTTTGATTGTCTATCAATCCTACAAAGTTATTGGGGATTTGTGTATATATAAGCACCTCAAATAAGAAAACACCAAAGCCATAACACAATGATAACAATACAACTTAGGAAAAGAAATGAAATAGCAGGAAATTAATGGTAAAATGAATCCATTGAAAGCATCAAATTTTTATCTGAGTGTGTCATCAAGTAACATGACTCTTTTTTAGACCCTGCACAGGGTGACTGTCCTTGGAGTGACCTTCATTAATCCTGTCCTAGGGTCATTTCAGTATACAGCAATTATGTAGCATTTTCTCTACATGATACAGATCCTGACTAAAATCCTTAGTAATCACCCACCTATCTAACTCATCTAACTACAATATCAACATAAAACATGACAAAGACTCCATAAATAATGACTGCACAGGAGAATCTAAGTAATGACATGCCATTAGCACTTCAGATGTGTTCCCACAAGTTTGGAGGAAATTCTCACATCACAGACAAGCATTTACTGTTCAATCTGAACTTTCCCAAGGTTTATCTTACAATTTTGATGTAAAGTATACCTTTTTATACCATCAGAAACCTACATTTTATTTATTCTCAGATTTTTTTCTTCTAAAAAATATACAAATCATTGGAGACTTTACTGCATTACTAAGGGAACTGAAGTCCAATATGAAGTGCAGTAATTTACTTATTCCATCAATACCCAGTGATGTAAATAATAGCTAATTGATACAGATCAATATTATAGATGGCGAGATTTATTGATCCATAGTACAACCACAACCACCAATAGATGGAGCTGAGTATGACAAATAAACAGCAGTTCTGTAAGAATCTACAAATAACCATTATCTGAATCAAATGACATTCATTTTCCCATTCCTACATATCACTGACTTGTATCACATACTTGAGTAAAGTACAGAGTTTGAACCAATTTCTAGGACTTTTTCCTGTCATGTGTAAACATGCATTCCATTCCATAGCATTTTAAACAAATATTGTTATTATGTGACATCATATTACAAGATAATATGCTGCATACTGAATTGTAACTCTGACATAAACATGACAAAGCCCCACAACAGTATTGCATCCATGTGATTTTACATATTTTATGTAATATGATGAGAATAAAGTGGAAAAGAAAACCATTCATTGTGGAAAAGAAAACCATTCATTAACTTATTCATATTATCAATGATAAGTTGTATTCAATTTAAATATCCGGAGAGTAACCTCAGTGTCAAACAAGAAAATAAAGATGCCTGCGTTAATTATCCTAAGTGACTAAGTCATCTACTACTTGGTCTTGTTTGTTTGTATGTAAACAGGATGAGTTGGCTGATACTAAGGTCAAACGAAGACTAATTGTAATATCAAACAGAGGTACACACAGAGGGCTACCTCTATCAACAGAAGGTTAACAATTTATTATCTATCCATACACATACTATCTCTCTCTCATTATCTCTCTATCAATACTGAACATGTACTCTTCATTGGCATAGGTAAACA